GCAGGTCACTTGCTGACACTTCTGTCTCTAAATATACCCTCTTCTCCTACCCCTCCCCCCTCCTTGCTCCTCCCCTCCCGCCCCTATATAACCTCCCTCCTCTCCCTTCCCACCTCCATTACTTCCACGCCCTCTCCCCCCTCAGCTCTCAGCCGACCTCTCGCTGCTCTCAGTGCTTCCCAGCCAGCCTCCTTGTGACCTCTTGTATCGCTTCCTACCCACACCTTCCACAACCCCAACATCGCCAATGTCGACCAACCCCGTTTTCGCCATCGCCCAAGCCAAGCACGACGTGCTTATGTCGCAGATGCCTCATCCTGCTACTGGCGCCGTGATGCCGCACCAGGTCCCCGCCCAGGCCCGTCTCATCGCCCTCGACTCCGTCGTCCACGCTCCGTCCCTCCACTTGGCCGCCCCGCATCCGGCGCTGGCCGAGATGCAGCCTAGGGCGCACGCCCCTGTGCATGCGCGGAGGTACGTGGAGGTGGCGAAGACGGAGGCCTTCCACGAGGTCCTCGCCACGGCTGCTCACCACCGCCTCGACCTCGCCGAGAAGCCCATCGCGACCCCCTTCGAGGTATCCCTTGCGAGCAAGAAGACCTTCTACAGGCGCCTCTTTGGCATGTAGGAGAGCCGGAGGGAGAGGATCAAGGAAGGCACGCCGGGAGTACAAGAGGCCGGAGATATCACCCGTGGCACTTCTCCCCTGCCTGCCCCGAGACCTGCTGATGTGTATGCCGAGGATGATTTTGTTTGATGTCAATAAAGATGGTTTTATATGAGCGTTATGGCAATGAGAGACGGTGATGGTGTTGAAGACAGTAGCGTAGAGAAGGTAGAAGACATTCATGAGAGAGGCACGGTTTTTCAGGGAGGAAAGGCCTGGCTTGTTTTTATTCTATGTTGTACGGCGGCGTGTGGAATTGCCTTATCAGGCGTCAGATCACTCGGAGTGAAGTGTGTCTGATTTCTAGCTTCCCCTTTAGGAGCCAGTATTTTTAGTCGAACTTACTCATCATGGTGAACAGCAAGACGATAGTGAAGCACAATTGTAGAGGCTTTTCCAACATGGTGAGCGAGCAAGCGGTCTCGCCAAACTAATGCGTCTGACTAAGCCTACCTTGTGATCTTAACTCGGGCTGGATCCGCCCCTCGTGATGCTGCCGCATCAGACTGCTTGCACTTTGCCCACCACAGGAGGCGTCGCTGATCCTTCAGCTTCAGAGCCTCACCTCAAGGCACTTGGACTCGCGCTCAGAAGCAACTCAGTGGTGGCCGCACATTGAAACTCGAACCCGGTTCAACCTTTGAACGAGCCACCGCCGCTTCCGTAAGTTCCGCAGTCGGCCTCCGAGGCTCGAAGTCACTGACTACTAAGTCGTCAACCATGACTGTGATAGCAACTCTGACTGTCTGTCGCGGCGACTGAGGCCTCACTGATGCTCTACGGTGCTCATTCCACGGTGTCCGATCGTCACGCCGTACCGGGTCGGCCCCGGTTCAACCGTCACGCGGGAGTCCGCGTGACGGTTCAGTGACACTGGGCCGGGGCGGCTAGAAAACGCAACTAAGTTGATCGGATCACTCGCTCGGCGCCGGGTTGACCGTCCAGTGTCACAAGCAAACGGCGGCGCGGCACTGCTGACGGTGGTCTCACGGCCGCGGCCGCAACTTGGCCTGACACTGTGACAACTAAGTTCGGATGGCTCAGGCGGCGGGAACGGCGTTCGACGGTCACCGGTGACCAGATCACATCATCCGAGTCATCGGATCGGATGATGGTGAGCTTGACTCAGTGACGCCGCGCGGCGCACCGGGGCCCGGCAGGCCGCCGGCCCTCAGTCGCCCAGGCGGGCCCGGGCCGAGGCACTTGACTCAGATCGGACGGTCACAAGTCCCGAGTTCAACTCAGTGCGGCAACTTCCGGTTTTAACCAATCATGAATAATCCGATGATCTGTCTTTATCTTCTCGCCGTTTGGCCTGTGCGACCGTCCGACAGTGTCAGGGTCAAGCCTCCTCGACTCTCCTGATTGTCCTCGTACTGATCTTTAACTTAACTTCTTGTAACAGTAAGTGAAAGTTGAGTAAAGGATTTTGAGCGCCGAGTACGGGGGCCTACTGAGCCACTGAGTCACGGCTGCCACCCGGTGACCCCGCGTTTAGGGTGAGACTCGTTGCCGGGATCGGACTGGCGGCCGCCCCCGGGGGCACCGGCGGGCCGGCAAGTCCGACCGCCGTACGGTACGCCGCCCGGCCGTACGGTCCGACGGTCCGTCCCCGCGATCCCCGGGCAAGTTACTCTAAGTTACTCCGAGGCTCCCCGAGTCCGAGTCCGCCCCGGATCGTCGTACCGGCCGGGGCACAAGGCCGCGCCGCAGACTCAAGAGTTACTCAGTAATAAAGACTAGATGGTGGCCCCCGATCCTTGCTAATGGCTGGGGAGGAGAGAGCGAGGGAAAGGGAGCGGAGATGGACATGAAGACAGGAGGCACCTGGACTTTTCTTGACCCTCAACTCACAGTGAGGACTCAGCTCGTGAGCACGTGAGTTAGTGCAAGTTGATGCGCCCATGCCTTGCATAGTATGAATGGACGTAGAGCGCAAAGTAGTAGGTAGTGCAAACTGGTGTAGACCTCTCAGTTATACTTGAAGCATGCGAATGCAAGAAAACACCAATGATCTTGTCGCCGTATTTCCGGTACATGATCGAATACCATTCAGGTCCCGGTGGAGCGAAAGCATGTCCCGAGGAGCACTTCTATTCATCGCGGTAGGCATCCTCTGGAAAGCGGAAACTTCTTCTCAGCAAATGCTCCAGGTGCTTCTCTCGCTCCTCTGCGCCTGCTTGCCAGCGGACGCGAGAAGAAGTGAGGTGCAGGTGATGGGAGTACCCGATGACGAAGGAATGGTCACTCAGCCTGCCTCACAGGTGGAGGAAAGTTTGGCAATGCAGAGAATCGACGCGTTGGAGGCCAAGGTCCTTTCAGTCACGATCGCCACGTGTCTTGACGAGCATGGGAAAGGTTGACGCGCTGAACGAGAACTTCAAACACCTTGCTTCCGTCATCGCCTCTGTGGACCATGGCAGGCATGATCTTCCCCATCTTGGTAAGTTTGCTGCGAGCTATGGAGCTCTCGAGCTCGTCCGTGACTTTCTCCGCAGAGCAGTTGAACCATGACAACAGTCAACACCGAGCAGCGCGCGCAGGACAGAAGAACACATGTGAGATGGATGCGTGCCTCCTCGATGTCTCATCAACGTCTCAGTCACCTGGATCCTGTTCGCACATGAAGTCTGGATCTTCATGCAGCATGCCAACGTCCTCCTGAACCCTTATCTTCAACGTCTCGATCGCAAATATGGCATCGCCCTGCTACGGTATTTCACTTCTGTCCTCACTCCCACTGATCTTTGTCCTTCCATCTCTCTCCTGAAATCTTTCCCTCCTCCCGTTACCTTCCTGCTTCTCCTCTTGTTACCTTCCTCCTTCTCTCTCTCTCTGCTCCCATGAACTAGTGTTGATGTGCAGGAAGCGGTTCTACTGGGTGATTGCTGGAGTGCTCTCAGCTTACTGGGCACGAGAAGTTCTGTCGATGATGTTGTGCTACAGGTGTGATGAGAGGAGAAGAGAGGAAAGATGAGGGATGGAGGAGAGGGAGGAGGAAAGAGAGGGAGAGCGAGAGGGAGAGCGAACGAAGGAGAAGCGAAGCAAAGCAAAGTGGACAGGAGAGAAGAGGACAGGAGAGAAGAGGACAGGGCTGGGCTGGGCAGGGCAGTGCAAGACAGGACAGGGCAGGGCAGGGAACGGAAGGGCAGAAGAGAAGAGGAGAGGAGAGGAGATGAGGGGAGTTGGCCGAGAGATAGAATCGGATGGGATCAACAAGGAGAAGAGAGTCTAGCGAAAACATCACTGTGTGATTGACCAATACACGTGCAGTTATGTTTCTGATGCTACCAAGACCATGATCATGATGTCTTGTATCTATCATATCGCCAAGGTAAGAAGAACCTGTTGACATAGATAAGGATGAAGCAAGTGAGGTTTGTAAGTGATAGCGAAAGAAAGTTACAGGACAGCCGGATTTAAATGAGATGGAGGAGAAGAGAGCGAACAGGAAACCGATGAGGATGGAAGAGCAGTGAAGAGGATGGAGAGAAGACGAGACGAGACGAGATGATATGAGGACAGAGAGATGGGAGGTAGAGGGAAGGGAACTCAAATTTACTGATAAGCATGAAGATCTGCCTTGTTTCTCTTGATGCTGCCCGGAAATTTTCTCCTAGGTGATCAAAAGTTTCGATTCTGATGAGTTTAATGACACCTTGCAAAGGCTGGGAATCATGTCATTGCTGATCGATCAGTGGCATCTCGACTCATTGGTTGTCATCCATTCTCTTGATGTAAGTGAGTGACAGGGAGTTGTCGCAGGTCGACGCTCTCATCACCTTGAAGCGAGTTCTTCTTCAGGTTTGACATGACAAACATCCATCCTGCATCTTGATCATGACCGATGGTTGAAGGGGTTTGATACTGCAACCCATTGCAAGATTGTGCTAGACATGATCTCGAAGGACAAGGAGCTGTTGTCATTTGCTGTTTTCATCGCAGCTGTCTGGTTTGTCCATGCTCTTGCGTGCCAGGTAAATCACCCTTGAGTGTTGATAAGAGACATGTTCAGATCTTTAATGTATGGTTCATGTGAAACAATGATGATCATGTTGGAAGTCTGTGGAGATGGTGACTCTAGAGATACTGATGACAAAGCAAAATGAAATAGTCACCAAGATGATTTGTGTTGACGGCGCCGATGTGCCGGTTGTTGTGAGATTAGAGATGGTGACGATGATGGAGACAATGCGAGTGATAGTGATGAAACTTATTTCAGGTCACCAAGAAGTCAACGGCAACACTCTTCGTTGAGACCTTCAAGGCTGTCATCTATGGTCAAACTCATGATGACAAGTTTGCGCCAAAGTGGAAGAATGAAGATGACTGTGAAAGCAAGCTCGGCATGTTCGACTCTATGCGGGAGTTCTCGAGCAACTGCATGTCAGTCCCGATCAATGACAGCATCATCTTTGCTGTCTTTGCCTTGGGTTCCATGGTATGTATCATGTTTCAACATTCTTATGTCGTCACATCCTGCTTCAAGATCTCTCTATCAGCTCTGTTTGCTTCCTTCTTCTCCTCACTGTCGACCTTCAATCTCTTCTGCGCTCTTGCCCTCTCGTCGGCACTGGTAAGATCTCTGTTGATACCCCTCTTCCGCCGAGCTTCCCTCTCTCCCTTGCCTTCCTCTCTGTCCTCTTGCCTTCTCTCTCTTCGCTTTACCGTTTGCCCATCATACCCTCTCTGATCTGGCATCCTCCTCCTCCCCCTCCTCCTCCTCCTCCTCCTCCTCCTCCTCCTCCTCTACCTCATTTCCTGCCTTCTTCGATTCCTTTGCCTCTCCCGTTTTAGCTGCTCACTTCCCGCTCCGAGACAAATTTGTATATCTGGCCATGGGCATATCCTCCTGCCTCTTCCCCATCTGTGATTCATCTTCATGTCTGCTCATGCTTGTTTCTTGTTGTATTGATGGAGATGTTGTCTTGTGTGGCCCCTTTCACATCTTTCACCCTCGCAGGTGGTGTCTGCATATGAGAGCATGCAAGTGAACAAGAAAGGGAAGGACGAGAAGGAGATTGTTCGGCTTCTCCTGTCACGGGACAAGTCTTCATCTTCACTGTGATGGAGCTTCAACCATCGAGCTCTACATCTCACAACTTGTGGCAGAGACTCGGCTTGTCCTTCCTTCCTCCGCAAGCTCTTGTACAAGGCTGGTTGGTGCCTGCCAGCGGAGCGATCTCAGGTGCCTTGCCGACTTTGTTGTCGCCCATATGCACTTGTGACTCTGAAATCGGTTCATCTTTGCTTGTGCATGAAGTTTGCTGTCGGAGATGGAGCGAGGAAGGAGTGTTGATAGACTTTTACCCGCGATTGCCTCTGATGCGCGTTAAGATGAGGAGGATGATTATCAATGAAGCTGATCTGATCGAATCATTGCAACATCCATTTGTATCATTCCATTGCCTTGTGCCGTGACATGTTCGTGTTAGTTCGAAACAGGTGACGTCGTCTTTCTTGCGCATCCAACGACCCTGTCATCGGCATTTGCTGTAAGAATCACATATTCTTGCTGGAATCATCTCGTCCTGAAGTTGGTAACAGTTGTGGAACAAGAGTTCAGAGCAGCAAGCAAGAAGATGGGAAGAGAAGACGTGGATGATGCTGACTTCTCCCTTGGTATTCCCCTCCTTTGCATTCCTCCCTCAACTCACAGGCCCTCCAGCTGTTCGTCTACTCCATCATATGGATGCTCCTCAGTCCTCGCGTCTGCCTCCCCTACCTCTACATGGACGATTTCTCCTTCTCTGGCTGCCGCAACTCAGTGTGGCTCAGCAGGTCCGTTGGCTTTCTGGACTTGTTAGAGGCAGCGGGTTGACCGCAAGGGCCAAGAGCTGACGGGAGACTGCAGACTGTTTGGCTGGCAGTTCATTTCCTTTCCTCGTCGAGCTCATGACAACATCTGCGAGATCCTCCGTGAGGCAGACAGACTTGGATACAAGGTCTGCCTGCATGCCTCCCTTGTCACACCGCCTGACATCCCTCTCTGCCTGCCTGCCTGCCTGCCTGCCTGCCTGCTATCCTCCCTTCCTCCCTTCCTCCCTTTCTCCCTGCCCCCATGCTCTCCTCCTTGTCTACCAGAATTTGATGTTTTTGCTTTCTTTTCAGGTGTTGGGTCTAGGAGCTCTCAACAAAGCCGAGTTCGTCAACAAGTCAGGAGAAGAGGTCTTTCAGTCGGTGACAACGGTCAAACTGATAAGATTTTATTAGCTCGTTCGAGAAGTGAATCCAAAGACAACAAAGGTGAGAAAAGATCGAAGAGGAAAGAACTACCTCAGTCATCTGACAGGCTCTCAATCAGGTAGTCCATGGAAACACCTTGACAGCTGCCGTTGTCGTCGAGAACGTTATCGAGCTCTTCAGGCAGTCTGAACAATCGTGCGAGGTGATGAAGCAAGAAGCTGATGTTTGCTGCTGTGGTACCTAAAGTCATGACAGATGAGACGGGAGGTGTTTTTGACTGGCCCAACGTCAAAGGTAGGAAGGGCAGTCGCGCTATCGCTTGTAAAACAGGGTGAGGAGGAAACCCTGCTAGCTGTCAGTTTGATGACTTGTTCTCAAACAGGATTCGATGTCACTTGCTACACTTCATCTACCGCAAGGTTTGAAGCCCTTCGCCAGGAGGCGTCAAGATCAACAGGCAAGTCAAAGTTGTAGCATGGATGTCTGTCTGTTCTAATCCAGAGAGCAGGCTCAATCAGATACGCAAGATCACTGCAAGACGGCGTCTTCTGTCGTGTCTGGGTTGTGGGCAAGTACGACCTCGGCGTTCGTGAGCATATTCCAAGAGACGGCATTGCCGTCGTCTTTTCAGTCCCTTGCCCCTTGACAGGAAACGTGCTGTCTGTGGAATCAGCAATGAACTCCAGGTAGGGCTGCCATGGTTGTTGTTGCTCGGAGAGAGACGGTAAAGCGGGATGATCTAACCTTGTTGGGTAGATACATCAGAGAGAGAAAGGATGTCACCGTGATCGACGGAGGTCTGTTGAGGATGCAACCTGAGAGGTGGCGTGCACTGGTTGTCGTTGTCAAGTCATGACACAAGTTATCAGATGCTCGAAGCGCTCCTTCTCTATTCTGCTTCCTGAGCACGAGGTGTACGCGTGCCATGCCGCAGCCATGGTACATGCCAACATGGGATGGGACGAGCATGAGGTGGGGGAAGTGGATCTGAGCAAGTTGCCGGTGGTGCTACACGCAGCAAAGGCGATGGGGTTTGAAATCCCCAGGCACGATCACAGTCTGTACCTCAACAAGCTCCGCCCTTCGCTATCAGGAGGCGCATGCGCAGCCGATCATAGCGGTGACGCGTCAAGGACGGTTCATGTCGGGTGCATTATAGTCGGAGCAGGAGCGAGTGGCCTAGCAGGTACCTTGTTGGGTTGATAGAGCGGCAAGTGACATGCCTTGCAGCAGCTGCATGTCTTGTCAAGAGGGGCGTGGAAGACATCCTCATCTTCGAACAGAAAGACAAGATCGAAGGTCACTGGAACTCTCAATACGACGAGCTGAACATCACATCCCGTCGGCAACACTGTCAGCTCCCTCACTACAATATTTCTAATCTGCTCCCCCGCGACCTCAGCGCAAGGTGAGTGGGAGGTGCTAGTCAACGAGCAAGCAAATCAGCTGTGTTGCGTTATGATGTGTACTTTTGCTGTCTTTCATCATCCGTGCTTGTGGTGGCTACTGGTGATGGTCTGCTGCAGGGACTTCATCCACTACCTTCACTGCTACTCCGCTCGCTTCTCTCTCAATATTTCGTTAAGGACAAGAGTTGTCTCTGCCAGGAGGGTTCCGCAGAGCTGCAGGTGGCTGGTGGAGGTAGAAGTCCTTTCCGAAGGAGGGACGGGACAGGCCAAGGGTGGACAGAACGAGCCTGAGCAGGCGCAGGAGCCGCGATCTGAGAGGAAAGTTTTCATTGCAGAGCATCTCATTATCGCATCAGGGCTACACGCTGTCCCTTGCTTCCCGCCGAACACGAAGGAGCTTGTCGCCGGCTTCGAGGGGGAGGTGCACCACTCAAGCTCGGTCAAGAGCATGCAGAGCTTGGCAGGGAAGCACGTGCTCATCGTCGGGATGGGTAACAGCGCAGCAGACATCGCCATGTCGCTCCTGCCACGTGCCAGGTCGGTCTCACTGAGCGTTAGAAGCGTTCCTCCTATCGTGAGGAGGGAGTGGGGCCCTCTGGCAGTGGAATGGGTGTCTCGGCTCTGTTTACAGCACCTTCCTCCTGCTCTGGCAGACGCTGTTGTCGACTTGTTCATCGTCGTCAACTTCGGGCGAGCATGGTGGACCCCTTTCTTTCCCGTTGGCGCCCGCAAGTGGAGGCCCTTCGGTGCTCGGCGGGTACCCATCATCGACAAGTGGGCAGGGAGGCAGGGAGGAGGGCTCGTGGACAGCATCAAGAAAGGAGCGCTGAGGGTTCATGGGCCGCTCATGCAGGCCAGGGGAAGGCACGTGCTGGTATCGACGCGAGCGTGCGAGTCTAGTGAGACTGAGCTTGTTCCTTGTGACGTGAGTGATGTTGAGGATGTCGTCGGTACCTCGCGCGCTCTGAACTGCTGCTGTCATGCCGCAGGTCATTGTCTTCTCCACTGGGTTTCAAGATAACCTGGGGGATTGGCTGCTGGTGCGTAACGTTGTTTGGGGAAGGCGGAGGGGTTGGTGGGTTGCTGTGCAAGGGGGGGAGGGGGTATGGTTGCTCATGCTGGGATTGAACAGATCGATCCACACGGAGCTCGACAACAGCAAACACTACACAAGATCGGGTTTGAGCATGGGCGGGTAAGAGCTCTTATTAAGTTGTTGGTTGGTAACATTGCAACAGGCTCTCCTGCCTCTCAAGGAGATCTCCGAACAAGCGAAGAGAATAGCACGTTTGATTGCATCAGCTCGCGCGCAATAAAGATCGACTCTCTCTCCTTCTCTCCTCGATTTCCTTGCACGATCAGCTGTCGTTAACACTGTCAACTTATTCGAGTAACACTTAACGTCTGTCTTCAAATAAAGAGTCGCAGGTTGATCAATCACGGCATACAAGCAGAGAAAGAAAGTTTATACACACCGCCTTAGCAGGCAGAGATTGTCAGAGACGGAGAATTATGGTAGGTTGCTCATGAGTAGCAATCGCAATCAACGCAGCCCATCACAACAACAAGAGCATCCATCCATCTTGTTAAACCCACTTGGCGCAAACCTGCTTTCTTGTTCTCCTCCCTCTCCCTCTTGCCCCTCCCTCCGCCCCCGCCCCTTCCGTCCCCCCAACACCCCCACCCCTTCCCTTCCGCAACCTTTCCACCCCTCCGCCCTCTTGCCAGGTCCTATCGCCTTCCGACCTCCACCGCACCCTCAAAAGAGTCGAACTGTATAAAATACAACGGGAACAGACCGTCCATGGGGGGTGGGGTGGGTGGTTCCATTAATGTACCGTGACCCGACGATGACCCCCGTATCCCCTTATTTTACTACCCCTCATCACGCTCGTCAGTGCTCATGAGGTGTGTCATCACTCTCTTCATCTTTACTACGACGTGTGTGGTAAGAAAGGTACCCCTACCCACCCCAGCATAAAATCAAGTCCGTTTTTTTAAATCCCTCCAGTAAAAACTCTTCCCTGGTACCACGGCTCCGATGACGGATAGCATACGAAGTTTACAACAGGAGGGTAGGAGGGGTATGGGTACTGTTACTACAATGTGGGACTCTGCCTGGCTGGGGCCAAACGGATTTTTGTGGGTTCTGTTTGGCTAGGTGGGGTGGGGTGGTCTAAGAAGGTAGGGTCCAGTCAGGACATGAGGCTGACAAAGCAGGTGAGGAAATAGGTGCTGTGAACATGACTGCGAGATCGCATTAGGTGGTGGGGTACTTGGTTTTCTGGGTGTGGACTACCAAGGGTACTTCTAGATGGGTACTTATTGAGGTATATGGAAGGTAGTCAGGGTGGTCTACCATCCCAAAGCGTCAACATTCACATGAGGGGTGGGTACCAATCACCACGGGGGTAGTAGCTAAGTGCGGTCTTTCAAAAAAAAACTTTTTTGATGATCGTAAGAGGCTCTCTTGAGAATGGGGTGGCTCCTGAACAACTAGAGGGGGGTAGGGTACCAACCGATAGGGCTGAACCTAAGGGGTAGGTTTGAAAGTCACAAGTCGGAAGATGGGAGGGGGTGGGTACACTTGGTTATTTATTGACTATCAGACAGGAAATGTATCCTAGTACCCCATGCTTCCCATAGCAATTCTTCGGTCAAGAAGGGGTGCGGGTAAAACTAGGTCTTTATTAGGGTAGGGTACAGAAACGTATGTCTACGGGGGTGTTCCGAGATCGTGGGTACTCGCATCAACATACGGTGTTCTTGTCCCTGGGGGTTACAAATAAGATTCTGACGGGGTAGGGGTAATCACTGTAGAGCGAGCAGTGGAAAGGCGCTCACGGAGTGACACAAGGAGCAGGAGCAGGAGCAGGAGTAGGAGCAGGAGTAGGAGCAGGAGCAGGAGCAGGAGCAGGGGAGGAAGGAAAAATTTTGATCCGCACGCAAGGAGTTCAAGAGAGAGGAGGCCATCAAAGTGCAGCAAGATCTGGGTTGTGTTCGCTGATATACGCGTGCCACCTTCGCTTGTACAACTGTGTTTTTGTGGGATAGTGTAACATACCAGCTGCAGTCGAAAAACAAACTCAGAACCCGGCTGGAATTTCTTGAAACCACACTCAGATAGAAGGGATTGAACCCCTCGTGAAGGAGCTGCACATAATTGTGATCGGTTGGTGGGATTATGAGCATCACAGTGAAGTAAGGAAGCTATCGAATCGAAGAAAATGTTCTTAGCGGCTGACAGCTCAAACTTCCATTTTATGAGTCAGGGTGACTGTCATCACATGGGAAGAACCGTATGCTCTCCACGGAATCGTGAAACTTTCGCTCGCAACGAGTTTGCACTGGATCTCGCAACCTCGCGAGGGTTTTTACACGTGGCTGACGGGGGACATGGCCATGCACGCGACTTGGAGGGAGCGAGGGAGCAGAGGCTTGAGCAGACTCCTCTGCATCAGAGTGTTGCGCCTGAGGTCGGCCAAGGAAACAGAAAGGTCATGGGGCGTAGGAGGTCGTGTTGTGTTGTACCTCCACTTTCGAAGGAACTGATAGATCAGTTCTACTGCGAGGAGAGTTGCAAGGGAGCAACAGGACTAGTTCAAGGAGTGCTCGAATGTGGCCACAGGGCATCGTCTTGCCCCTGCACCCCTCAGAGCAACAGTGAGGAGACCCAGGAGGAGGGAGCAAAGAAGCGAACCCCTTCGAACAAGTGCCTGATGCGACGAGAAAGTCTCCCTGCGTCGCTTGCTCGACGGCTGTCAAGGACCAACGAGGAGTACGACATCCCAGTCTTGCAGATCCTTTCGGCTGCTGAGGGTGATGAGAGATTGAAGGGGATCCTGGAAAGATTGAACACAATGCGATCGCCAGCCCGATGTCAATATACTGAAGACACTGTCGATGACGTTGAAACATGATAAATAATGTTTATAGGCAAAGGGGGCAGGGCGTGTCTTCAAATTAAACCTTTCAGATGGCAAACAATAAGAGTTTAGAAAATGTGCAGAAATACTCTTTTGAATCTGATTTCTTTGGTAAATAAACAATTAGAGGATTACTTTTCTCGACATGTCGATGTTACTCATGCATCAGAATAGAGGGCAGGCAGTCTATTTGAGATGTTCGATGAGCATACAAGAATAGAGGCAGCACAACAAATTTGATAAAGCTGTTGCAGCTTTCGCTCATGAAGCAATCAGATCATCTAGGTCAACCCGATCTGTTCGAACGAAATCGGAAGGAGGGTCCGTCACCTGACGCCAATGACATCATTTAAGGCTTTGATCAGCAAAGGTAACAGGGCGCAAAAAGAAGAGATGAGAAGTTCAGAAGATGTTCTTCGCTTACCTGCCGAATCATTGCTACTTGTTCGCCCGAAAAATAACCACTTTTGATCCAGGATCTGAAAGAAGCTTCGATGTTGGAATCGCAGCACTACATCCAAACACAAGTACCTCATTTGAGAGGTAGTGAAGGGTCCATAGACCATATCAAGCATCTGCGACACTTTCAACACAAGAATACAAACTTTTCTCCTTGTTACCTTCTTCGCTTTGTCCAACACCTGAGATGCTTTTGCCTCAAGATCCTCTTTTTCAACAATTCCCTTGTAAGACACGCCCTATCTTGAATCAGTCTCGCAAAATTGCAGCGTGAAAAAGGAGGACCTGGGAGTCAAGGTAAGCCCTCAGATCTTTGATGGACATCTTCTTGGGGTCCAGCTGTGCAAGAGCTGAGTGTTGCTGCGTCCCGGTCAGCATGGCGATATTCGGATCATAGTGAACTGACATCTTCAGAGAGGATCTTGTACTCCCACGTCCGGCCATCGTCAGGAACCTCCTCCGTCTCTGCAGCTGGATCACCACGAGCACGACAGCTCGGCATCAGGTCACCGGCTGGCTGCTCGAACTGGATTCTTTGAGCAATCTTCTCTCGGGGGTCCGAGTACACATTCAGATACCCAGCTGCCAGTCGAATCATCAAGGCAAGGCATGAAGGAGCCTTGAGCGATGAACGTACCAGCTAGAAGTTTGTCCGATGCCTCAGTGACCTTGTTGAAAACTTCTGACTCTGCAAGCTCACGATCATTTGCCAGCAGGATCTTCGTGAAGGTCATTTACCAAGATTCTCCTTGTCAGCTCGCATGCGGCGGAGGAAAGCAACGACTGTCTCTCCCTCTTTGAGCGCTTCGTACAAGATCCTGGCAGATCATTAGAGCCCGATTAAGTTGCTGAGGTTTCAGATTACTTAAGCAACGACTGTTGATCGACTTCCTCTTCCATCTCGTCGTCCTCGTTTTCTTCCTCTTTGTTCCGCGCGACAGGCTTTTGTAGGCCATGTGCGTACTTGTCATTGACCTCATCGAGCCATGCATCTCTCTAACGCAAAATTTTCAGTAACGAACAAAGTGCTTCAAACATATACTTGTGACATCTTGAACTTATCTTCTACATAGTGGCCGGATGCAGCATCAAAATGACCTTCTTCTCGCTCCATATCCTGTTTGTCTATGTTTAGGGTTGAAAGATACAGAGCAGGGTTGGGGATTACTGTGTTGAAGGGCTCTATCCTGATTCCACTTTCTTCTTCATACCTTTGAGGAAGAGTCAATCGAAGGACAAGACATAGTTCCAAGATCAACGCAAAACTCACTTTCTTCGCTCAGCCTCTTCTTCGCTGTCTTCACTGTGTTCCCAGTCTTCGGCAGCGTTTTCAACCTGGGGCAAGGAGATTAGACAAGGTCTCTCCATCTCTTCCCTCCAAACCTCTTTGAGCTCTCGCCCCATCTTCATCGAGGACTGCATCGCCCCGGCCCGGCGCCTGCTCTACTATCAGCCTAGAGCAGCCGCCTCCCAGTTGTTTTCACCTCTGCTTGGGCGCATCGTCACCATCATCCATGTCATCGAACCTGAAGCATCGCTCAGCCATGGTCAATGGACTCCTCTAAATTCGATGCCTGTCCACTTCCTCCTGGTAGTGCTTGCCGGCTCCCTTGCGCCTTCGGCCGACTCTTCCAAACTCATCTCCGAAGCGATTCTGAAGCAAGGGTTGTTTGAGTCGGAGTCAAGAGCAGGTCACTCAGCTCTTCTTATGAATGAAACTCGCTCTACTCCTTTCGGTCACTTGAGTGTCACTAATTCATTTAGCTAGAATTCTGCTTGCTATGCTTGAGCTCTTAGCATAGACATTTCGCGATCATCGAGGCATGGCGATGGGGAGGATCCCCTATCATACATTTCTGTCTTTCACCAGTTATGTCGACTGCTTTGGCCGATCAGCTAATTGAAATATGTCGAGGATTTCTGTGCGTGATTGCTCGAACATGCTTCAACATGAATCATGCTGCGGAAGGCCTTGTTTCCTCGCCAGCATCTTGCCACATGCTCCTCAATCCGTGATTGATACCATCACTATCATTCGATCTTTTCATTTCATCACCGAAATGTTTCCGTCTCTGTCTCTGTCTCTGCCTCTGCCTCTGTCTGTCTCTATCTCTGCCTTGTCTATCTCTGCCTTATCTGTCTCTGTCTCTGTCTCTGTCTCTGTCTCTGTCTCTGTCTCTGCCTTGTCTGTCTGTCTCCGTCTCCGTCTCCGTCTCCGTCTCTATCTCATACATGTCTTCCCTCCCTCCTCCCTTTTTCTTCTTCCCTTCCTTACCTTCTTTCTCTTCCTTGCCAGCTCCTCCTCAAGCGCTCTCTCCCCTGCGTCCGCCATGGATCCCTGCGCTCGTCGATGCGCCCTCATACAGACCACCCCCACCCGAATTCTCGAATTCAAAAATACCCCACCCTCAGTACTCACTACCCCTCAATTAAATATGGTACCCGTACAAATCAATATTACAATACCCGGTTCATCCAATGCGATTTGATAGTACCCAACCAGATCAAAACACCCTACCCAGTATTTCACAAAGTAACAACAGGGGGTGCTCACGAGGAGTGTGACAACATGCAGGGGTGATACAAGTGCTCTGTACCACCGGTACTGAAGTTTCCTTGGACGGGGAAACAGGGGTGGGGTGAGGGTAGATGAGGGTGGTAGGAACAGGGTGGGTTGAGCCGAGTCAAGATGGAAATATGGCGATGCTTGCAGTGCGGCGGGGGCAGCGGGCGGATTATGCAATGCAGGTAAGAAGAAGAGAGGAGAGGGGAAAGGATCTTCTCATCACGAGTATTACGATGAAGTATTGCATTTGAAATGATGGAAGACAAGACCCTTCAGAGATTTGGTGTTGAGATTGCATCACATTTTTGTGAGAGCTGTGTGGAATGTGTTTGAAAGTTGGGAAGGACGCCGTATTATGAGAGAAACACCATACACCACATTGTTTAGTACACCATGAAACATGTTATTGCCCATACTGTGATACAGCGAGTCTCGTCAAGTTCGTTGTCGGCGGATCGTTTTAGCCGCCATTTCTTTTCCCGGAGATCGAGAATCTCGTGCCATTGAGGAAGAACATGCCCGCATAGAGCGCTCACCTGAATATCAGGGCTCGATGTTTTTCTGACATGCTCTGTTTCAGCAAGGGGCACTGGATGTGCGAGGTGTGCCATGCAGGATGCGGGGAAAAGTGCGGTTCTTTATTGGTGTCAGCCCCTCTCTTGATAGAGTTTGGCAGGGGCAACTGCCCGCTATGTGGCATCAGGTTGGGTTCGATTCGATGTCTCCTTGCAGAAGTTCTTCGATGTGAGGTGAATGCAAACGAGGAGCCTGGCAAACTCGACGACAAGCTGACTGAAGCTCTGGTTGCGATGATTTCATGATGTACTCGCCACTGACATAAGCATGCCCGACTGCTGCAGAAGAAATTCAAGAAGAGATCTCACCTATCCACTTCGCTGCAAGGTTTGAACGCTCTCACTCCCTCAATTGAAGCTCATACAGCCTTTGCCTCTCCCGGCAGGCTGTTTGATCCTCGTCGTAGACAAGGCCAGAGATCTTCTGTCCAGCTACATCTGGTGCACAGCCTTCTATGGCATCCTCGCGTGCTCTGTCACCGCCATGCTCATCTTGAGGAATCCTTCACTCGGAGGTTTTAAGTGCACTTGCAGCTTGCCTGATTGTCATTGTGACATGAATCCATCAGATTCTCTCATGGATGTCGGCAAAGACATCACGTTTCAGATTCAGACTTCTCACTCCTGCCACTTGTCATCCATTGGTTCGGAGCACAACAATCATCTGGAAGAATGCTTGCCCGGTGAGATGAAGGACTGGTTCAGCAGGAAAGATCCGAGCAAGCAAGAATCGTCTCGGCATGATCAGCATGTCGATCATCATCGTAACCAGGATCATCATCATCATCATGATCCCCATCATCACTCCAAACACTCTGAAATTGTCGAGAAAGAAGACTTCAACCTTGAGCACCGGGCTGCCCTTGACTTCGGCCCCAAGGTCATTCTTGCTGTTTTGCGTCCTGCAACTCTTGCTGTTCCTTTGCAACTTCAATGTTGTGATGTTGTTGCGATGTTGAGGTCACCAAGATGACAGCTCTGCAGGTGCACGATTGGTGCGTTGAACAGGGAGTGGAGTTCTGCAATGAGGTTATGAACGAAGACCTGGTTGCTGCCATCTACGAAAAAGTGAATGTGGACGACCAAAGGAGGGGCGTGAAGCAACATGCTGAAAGGGATGTTGAGTCGCAAGATGTAGCTCAACAAGACCTCCAGGCAATCCCTTGTTCTCAGTTCGACTTCTTCGATTGCCATGGGAATTTCGAGTTCATGGACTGTGTGAAGAAGAGAGACGACTGTGCTGAGAAGCAGAGACAGCAGGAGAGAGTCGCCGACGACATCTCATGCCAGGCCTGCAGGCTCATGGTTCCGATCATCCGCAATAAGACAGTCCTGTGGCTGAAAGCTCTAGCTAAGCACAAGACCGCGTCATCAGGGAAGAAGGCTAGGAAGAGTGGGAAGGAAACAAACTCGAGCGATGCGCTGTCTCTCTCCAACATCACCAGGAGAGATTTTCTACACCTCACCAACAACATGTGCTCCGATCACAAGACAAAGTCTTCCTGGGTGAACCGAGTGGAGATCGTCGGGGCCACATTCCCCTACTCCCTGAGGATGGCAGGGAAGCCTTCTGATTGCGACGAGTCCTGCCAGACTGTGACCATCGCATGCCACAACCTCTTGAACCGCTCGAGGTGGAGCGCCGTGGCAGAAAGCATGCTCCGAGCGCTCAAGGAAGAGTCGATGCTCTTCCTCTCCTCCCCAGGCTTTGAGACCGCAATTCCTTCAACCTTTGAGAGATTGTTCTGCAAGGGTCTCTGTCAGAATGTATCAAACTCTTCCCAACCAGCTGGCCAGGCACCCAGTGCAAAGGTGTCGCCCGTGGCGAACAGAAGCAGCGTCGTTGAGATGTTGGTTGTGCTCCGTCGTGGAAATCAAACGATCGAGTTTGCGGACCAACAATCTCCTCAAGATTGCTGTATAAACGTAGAGGAATTCTTGAGCCCTCCAATCTGCTCTAAGCCGCCGTCGCCAGTGACAGCTGTCTGGGTTGAAGCTACACCGCAAAGTTCTTTCATGCTGGCGAGCACGCAGAAGAAAGCTGTTGTCAGTGATCGCAAACTTATGTCACAATCATGGCACCGAGGCCTCTTGGCCTGGGGTGCGCAGTGCAAGAACAAGAGATGCAGCTCGCAAGGTAGTGAGATGAGAATTGAGGTTTACGACTGACATGCTCGAAGATGTTGCTTTCAGCGGCCAACAAGAAGTGCTTTTTGCAACGGAATTGACTTCTGTGAGTAACAAATAAGACGTAGTACCTTGTGACTTGCTCTTTTCTGCAGGAGCTCAACAACGCATCGTCGCTCATCGCTCCTATCTTTCTCTGTCCGACCACCTCGTCCTCACTGTTCCTCTTTCACTGATCTCACCGCAGGTTCCAACAAACACCTGCCCATCGTCATTCACGCGTCTCGGGCATGTACTTGCAAGAGGCCAATGACAACCCATGTGGGTCTTCCCATGTTGAGAACTAGAATGAGAGCTGACCGGCATCTGCAGAAGTTCCCTGCGACCAACCAGACTGAGTTGAAGGCGATACTGGCAGACCTGCCTCGGGTCGACAAGATTGTAATCAGTGATGTCTCCAGCTCTGAGCAGAACCCCTGACAACATTCACTGCAGATGCATTACCACACCACGGCCCTAAACACACTGACAGCGACAGACAAAAACAACTTTCCTGCTCTTCCTTACATTGATGATTCTGGTCCACTTATGTCACTGTGATCTTGACGAACATAACATGATTTACTCTGAAGACGTTCGTCGCCTTGCGAATAGCTTTGACACACCGACACTTTCTCAACATGCTCTGCTACCAGCCAACCTGTCTGTTAACGGATGTTGAACTTTCATTGAGATTAACTCTAGTCCGCAGATGCGACAGGAAAGGAAACTCAACCGTCAAGCTGGATAGGCAAAAACTCACTGATAGAATTCAAACTGTTGCAAAGAGTTTGAAATGTGCCACCTGTTCCCTCCTGTCTGCCTTGCTACACCACAGGCTGCAGTCGGCTTTCGTGATGCTTTTCTTGCTGCTGTTCACCTGATCTTGACAGAGTGGCAGACTGACGGTCAAGAAATTTCACAGATCAGGACAAAACAACTTGAGATTGTATCCTGGTGATGCGAGAGAAACGCAGGAAATGATTGTTCTTCCTGCAGACAACATCTATCTGCAACTTGAGTTCTGTCCAAGGATCCTGGATGACAAGGCTGACATTGTTTGCTTCCAACGATCAGCCTCTTCGTCTTCAGGTACGTCCGTTGTAAGTCTGACGATTACATCACATGATGTGGCCTGTAGGCTGAGAAGGAAATCAGAACATGCGGCCTCAACTGTTTTGCAGTTTCGGCATCATGCTCCGAGATCATGTCAAGTCAAGTCATCGATCGCATCGTTGTCTTGAACGTTGTTCTTGTTTCTCCTCACGCTGTTCCAAAGGTCAACGGGCTGGGGCGGGCCATTGTGTTGTACCCCAAGTTCACATCCCATCACATCCACAGGTTGTCTCTCCATTGCTTTCAGAGTCATCAGAGTCGCTGACTTGAATGCTGGGTATCAAGGGGCATGTGTCAATCCTACTCCTCCTGCTCAACGGCTGTCAGCCCTGAAGCTGAGAAGCAGCCGTGCAAACCATGGAAGGACGTGTCAAACGTGTACATGCAGCAGGTCTTGTGTACTACCGCTGTCCTCCCACCCTCCCTGACAGTCTCAGTAGGTCGTGGAGAACGTCCTCGCCGGTCACAGGTGAATGCGGCATTTGATGCATATGACAGTTCGCTCATGATATTTTTGGAACAGTCGACAGCTAACAGAAAAAGAAGTTGTTGCAAACTTGCGAGAGCAAGTCGTCCGGTGAATCGTTTTACCCGTCCATTCCTTTTCAAGCAACGATACAATGCGATCTGTTGTCCGCCTTGTCATTCTCCACCTCCTTTTTCGCTTTTTCTCCCTCTTTCCTCCCCCTCTTCCCTGTCTACAATCCCTCTCCCTTGCTCCCAAATTCTCCCCATCAAGCTCGATTTGTCTTTCTCCTGCACCTGGATTCTGACAACAGCTGTGCAGCAGGCCGGGAGATGAAATTGAGCCCGTTTTCGTGAATGCTGTCTTAGAAGAAGTCAGAAGAAGAGAAATGGTGGTCGACAGGTGACTTTGACTTCTTTCTTTGGTCTATGGTCACTGACATCAGAGCATGCAAGTAGGGGTGCGAGTGAGTCAAGTACAACGAAGAAGAAGAGGAGGAGGAAGCGAAAGAAGTCTTGAGTACAGTTCACCATGTCTAAAGCGCTAAGACCAATGTTTGACAAGATGTTTAAATACCTATTGACAATAGATGTTACTTATCTGCAATAGAAACAAAATCTCAGTCTATCTATGTACAAGAAAATGTTCTACACGTGACGTCCAGCAAAGACATGATAGCAAGGCATCTACTATCTCAGCTTGCCTCATCCAGGTCTCTGCCTTAGCTCAGCATCTCCCATGCGATGATCTTGTTGTAGAGACGCCGGGTAGTGGGATCATAGTTGCTGGCTGCTCTGCTCGACCAGCATCCAGGAATCAAGGTCGACTCAAAGAGGCCCTTACAACAGGATGTGCTGCTTCTATGAGCCGGCTGAAGGGCGACGTTGAAGGAATCCGTTAAGCTTCCATACACGAAGTCCGCCTCCCCGGATTCTTCATCCACATCAGTCAGGCCTGCGAATGCTACAAAGCTCTGAGGAGGTTTGTTCTTGGAATCAGCTGTACTAGAGCACATGCTTGACGATATACCAGAGTACGAGAGAGGGCGAGTCAGTGAGTCGAACTGGAATCAATCTGATCACGATGACAATGACAATGACAATGACAATGACGCTGCGACTTGAGGTGCTCCTCTCCTTTGTCTTCCTCGTCCTCTTTCCTCTTCCTCTTCCTCTTCCTCCTTTTCTTCTCCTTCTGCTTCTTGTGCTGCTGCTGCTGCTGCTGACGTGAGAGTCGAGGGAGGAGTTCAGACTGATGTTGACGGGGCGGGAGGCTCGGTCGGCCCACGGGAAGATGACCAAGAGGTTGACTAGGCGAGGAGGAGCAAACAGTCATAGAGTGACTTCTACGTCAGGCGCCCCCTTTCCAGTCATGACCCACCCCCCATCCGACTACTATAGTCGGGTTAGTAAAGTACCCTCTGAAGCCTTGAAGGAGACACTTTTGATGGACCGTTGAAGCCGTTGAAGAGTCTTGACACTCGGTGACACCGGATCTTTGAGTCCCGATCACGATCGTGATGGAGCAAACAATGACAGCAAAGATTCAATCTCTTTCGATCAGACTCGATTTTATTCCGGAGTACCGGAGTACCGGGGCGGTGCCACGGATCGGACTGCTTCACTTAGTGACTGCGGCCGGGCATTGCAATGGAATGATGCGCCTCCGCGGCGGCCGGGCTCTGACAGGCAAAAAAACTACTTTACTCAAAGAAGTTCGGACCGTCGGCTGATTGTCCTCGTACTGATTTTTAACTTAACTTTCAAAGTAAAAAGCTCGGACCCGGCGTACCGTACCGCCCCCCGGCCCCGGCCGGCCCAGTGGCCCCCCCCCCGGGCCGGGCCATGCCGCGCGGAGTCACGCCGGCCGGCCCGGCCCAGTCACCCGCGGCGGAACTTTGCTGCCACTGACTATCTGAATGCCAGACGGCGGAGTCCAAGTCTGCGGGGCCGGGCGATTCCAGTCCGGCCCGGACTCCGCCGGGCCGCGACTCCCGCCGCTTGCGGGTCTCGGATGATCCGAGTCCGGTCAGTAAGTTGCTGCAGTGCAGTGGCGTGCCGCTGTGCAGTGCGGTGCCGCGGCGCGCCATTCGAGGCGGCTGGCACTGCGGGCAATCCATCCGATCCAGCCTGGCAGCTAGCCGCTGAGCATGCCGCTCGCCCCGTTCCAAAGTTAGTGAGGAGAGAAACGGCGACCGTCCTAGCTGAAGAGGCTGATCCTCCTGTAGGCCGCGTGAGCCTGGTAGAGGAAGGACGAGGGGTCAGAAGAGCCGAGTCTGATTGCTGTGCTCGCCTCGTGTGAGCTCTCGCTTCTCAGAAGCTTGTGTTCTTTCGTGACCAGGAATGAGGGAAACTTAGGGCTCTTATAGATTCTCAGAGTTCTATCAGTCTGATCTCAGCCTGTTGGGTGTTCAGTCGGGTCATATCATATGAGCGACGCTGCTAGCACCGGGCAAGACGACAACACACTGAGCAGCCATATGCGGTAGTCGCTCTTCAGGGGAATCAACCGCTCTACCCCCTCCTTGTGCAGCCGAAAGCAGCGCGGGAAGTGTAATGAGATATGTAATGCTGAGATAAGATATGATGAACCAAGTTATAACGAGATAGGCTTGATGAGATAAGTTACTGTGAGAGGACAAGTTGCTGTAGATCTCACAATGCAGACAACCACTTAGCGCAATCGCTTGAGCTACAAGACGAGGACATCAACGAGGGCTTCACAGCTGCAAATGACGATCATGCCAAATACCACACAATGGTATCATCCCAGCCTATTTTAAAGGTTCTTTGTTGATCTTCAACTTCACCAGTGGACGCCTGTTAGGATCAAGGCCGGTGACGGGCAAGCCGCGTCGGATTCGAGCACTGACGAGCCAATCGCGTACCTGACCTGCCTGATATCTTTGTATGACAGCTGATATCAGTGTTTGTATGATAGGACAGGAGGACAGGAGGACGGGGGGACAGGGGGACAGGGGGACAGGGGGACAGGGGGACAGGGGGACAGGGGGACAGGGGGACAGGAGGACAAGGATGGAAGAAGGTGATATTTCACAATATCATTGAAAATGTGACAACTAGACATCAATTGCTCGAAGTTGCGAGTGAGGTTTGTGATTCATACCCACGATATACAACGCCCATCTTTCACCTTCTCTTTCCCCATCCTCCCACTTCCCATCTCTTCCAACCCCCTCCTCCCCCAGTAGTGCCGTGAGCTGGGCCCTTACGTGAGCTGGGCCCTTATCAAACCCTTACAGGGTTAAGGGGCCGGCAGTTGGATCAGCTGGACTACGGCGAGTGCCTGTGACTGATCCTGTAAGCTCAGCAGGGAGGTGAGATCCGACCTAGTGACCTCCTAGGATCGCTGCGCTGACAGGGGTCCTCCGCATCGTGACTCGTTGAGCACCTTTTACATCTGCTAGGATGATCCTACCAGCGCCTTACTAGGTTATCCGACGGAGTAAACATCTGGTAGTTTTCAAGTCAAGCGTTGAGGTTTCAAACGCACAAGGATAAGGGATGGCGGTTACCACCCGTGACCCCCCCTGATCAGTCCTCGTACTGATCTTTAACTTAACTTTGAGTAAAGACTGCAGCCCGGCTAGCAGTTGTCGGTTGGCAGAAGCTAACGGTGTTGAGTGAAGCCCTCCAGTACAAGCCTACTCCGACAATGCCCCCGGGCGCACCGCCATCATGGCCCGTGACGCCATGGTGCTGCTGGGGGCAGCACAAGGTTCAAGGGCTGAGGTACTAACTTCAATGAGTCTGCCTTGCTGAGCGGGGCTGAGGCGAGCTCTGAAAGCGATGAGCGCCACGTGATCCCCAACTCCGCCGACATCCCGGAAATGTCCCCGTACTGATTTTAACTTAACTTTGAGTAAAGGCAACCGGCGAAGGTGCTGCGAGTCTGCCTCAGAGGGGCCCCCGGCACGGCCCGTACGGTGGAGGGAGCAATGCGGGGAGATCGATCAAGTTATAAAACACATGTAGCCAGTATTTTACAACTCGGGCGGTACAGAGTTTTACTCTTATTTTTCTTATTAGGTTGTTCTTTACACATCCTTTGTTCCTGGTCGGAGTTGTTACCACAGGATGTCGGGGCGATGCAAAAGACTGCCGATATAAACTGCTCTACTCCCAAGAAGTCCCACGACATCCTCCTGCCTCTCTTTCTCTCTCTCTCTTTCCGTCTCTGACGCAAAACAAGCTCTTGTTCGACACAGCTCAAGATATACAAGCGACTCCTGGTCACCGTCTGCTCCAACACAAACAAGGCCTGCCTTCAAGATGATTCAGTGTAGCCTCCATTCCACCGTCGACGTACATATCGACTTTCCTGCATGCGATAACAACGAGGAGCCATTCAAACAACAGCCACAGAACAGCATAGTTTGCTCGGTATTTGATGAGCAAATCCTATGCGATGAGCAGAGGGAGCTAGCGCTTGGATGCTTGAGCGACTGCTTCAACTCTCACCCTCAGCCTTCCTTGGCCGTCTCTTCTTTTCCTAGCAATCCTTGCTCTCATGAACATCGTGTTACATGCAATCATAGAAGCTTGCTGCAGTCGTCAGTGGTGACTCCTGGCGGATGGACACGGACAACAGTGAGCAGTTATGACCCAACAGCGCGACGTCTCTACAACAGAAGCATGTCTACGGACACCATGAGCTGAAGAGTGAAAGGAAGCTACCGAGATTCAGTCAACAAAGTAGAGATCCTGCTGATTGCAATCTAATGATGTTAATCTCATGTAAAGCCTCACAATCTAGTGATAGTGAGAACATGACTGATATGATAGAGCTGTATAGAACTAAGAAAGTGAATACGAATACATCCTCATCCCTTTCTGATCACATTCTGCTTGAGCGATTCGACTTTGAGGAGCGGGACTGAGTCTGCGCCGGTGGCTTGAAAGCGGCAAGTTTTCATCCGACAACTTGCGGCCATCACCATGTTTACAGGGCCCTGCACTTATCTTCCTTCCTCCATCACTCCCTCTCCCCCTGCCTTTCCCCCTCTTTCCCTCACTTCATCCCTCTCTCCACCTCTCTCCATCTGATCATGGTCAGTACGACATGTGATCATTGAAGTGATTCAATGCAGTGCTGAATGACACTGATCATTGGGGAGGCGGCTCCGCTGTAAGGCTCCAACAAGCAAGTCACATCGACTCAGACAAGAAACTAGCGAGCCTCGGAGTGCCACGCACTGCCGCACCACACCGCGCGGCCCGGCCGGGCGCCGCCGCTGCGGAAGTTCGAGTCGGACCGTACGGTCGGACTCGAAACTTGAACTTGAGTCATCCACGGCATGCCGATCCGAGTCACTGATGATGAATGCGGATCGGACTGGCTGGTCGGATGAGTCAGTGATCCGGCCCGGAGTCCCGGCGATCGGACTCGGGCCGTCCTAACGCCAGTTGTCCCGTAATGCCATCCGACCATGAGTCACGAGTCCCGGAGTCCGCCGTCACCGTCCGCTATGCCCGGCCGGCCGGGCGGGCCGGGCCGATCATCGTCCCAGTGGCAACGAATGCCATGATGAGCACGTCACGCGGGGGGGCCGCGGGCCGGGCCGCGGGCTGCCGGCCCGGGCCGCGGCAGTGAGTGGCGGCCCTCAGTCACAAGTTCCGCCGTCCGAGTGAGTAGCCTAGTAGGCCCTGATGATCATCGCCGGGTGACACGCCGGTCTCAGTCCCGGGGCCACTGCCATCGGCCCGGTCCCGGCGGGCTGCCCAGCCGCCCGCCGGGGAGCCTCGGAGTCCGCCCGGTCACCAGGGTCGGATCAGCCTGGCAGGCCGCCGGCGGATCACCGATCCCGGACCATCGGACACAATCAGAGTCACTGACGGTTGAAGAAAAAGGAGCGCAGGTGTAGAGATGCTGCCCGATTGGTGGGGTTGGGGTTGGGGGCTGCCAGGGGTGGGGTGAGGGTAGGGGGGTTATGTCTCCTAGGTGGGTGAAGAAAAGGAGTGTGTAGCTCGAAGTAGTGGAAACATGGGTGGGGTACGCTGCTATGAACGGTGGCTGCTGAAAAAAGCCTAGTAGGGTGGGGTACCTTTCTCAGAGAGGGTGGAGTAAGCAGCTTGTGGACGGTATATGCACTGAAAGTGATATGGAGGGGGTAGGGTCGCAAATAGGTTCTCTATGACTAGAGGGGGTGGTATGAAAACTGGCTGACAGAGGAAATAAATGGTGGGGTAGGGTTCTTGACTACCCATGGTACAGATGTGTGAACGAGGTTCCTCTTGGTAGGGTAGGGTAGGGTAAGAAGGGATGCAGTGATGAGCGAAGGGCGCATTGCATGCATGGTTGACAGACCAGGACGGGCATGACGGGAGCGGGAAAGAGAGTTTCAACCATGGCAGAATAAAATAGAAGGGAGATCCATGAAAGAACTTGGATGGAAGATTGATGAACAAATGAAGATTGGGAGAGAGAGCAAAAAGATTGACTGGGATGTCGTAAGAGTAGGTGATGAGGCGATACGGCATGAAGGGGTGCCTGTGAGAGTGAGGAAGGGTGTTGTCGTAGTAAAGTGAGTTGTGTGATGTTCAATATATGGGAGGTAAGAACGAGGAAGGTTGATCCAATAAATTGAAAAGAGGGCGAAAGGGGAGGCGAGGAAAGGACGAAAAGCAACTTCTTCGTTTTGGAGGGGAATATGATGTTTGTGCGCGCATAGAATAAGTATTGGGCTGACCTTACAAGGGAGGATGTGAGGATTAAGGTCGGAAGTAGTTCCAAGGGAGGTTTAAATACTTTCTTCAGGATGCTCTCTTTTGATAAAAACTTTCCAAGTTGGGTTGAACTTTTTCACCAGGATCGGACGCCAGCTCATACCTAGTAACAATGAAGGCAAGCGAGAGATGCAAGTCATTCGTGGCTCTTGCAACTCTCAGTCTCCTGGCCTTCGCAGCGATGTCTGCTGCCCTTTACATACAGTCTGATCGGCTGGCTTCAATAACTCAACCTGCTATCATATCTGAAGTACAGCAATCGGATCTGAAAGCGAACGGCCTATTCATTGTAGCATGTCTCCTTATGTCTGCTATGTACCTTGGATTCTCGGGCGATATCAAGCGTACGTATCCTAATGTTTCTCGCATAGCCTTCTTTGGATTCGCCTTTGCTGGGATTCTATTTCCCAACACCATAGAAGCAGACAGCAATCATGTTCAGGTCCTTTGTCTTTGAATCTATTCATGCTAAGATGTAACCATCCATCTTGTTCTAGTTCATCAACAGGGCACGTTCAAGGCAGAGCTATGGCCCGTCTTCGTTCAAGAGCTTCGCTGAGCAAGGCACTTTTGGTGCAGCGATCAGACTGCGAGGAGGAAAGGCTGACCTTCTGCACGAGCATCGATTTGAGTTGCGGAACAATGCCTGGTTCAAGACCGAGAGCCGGCGAGAGGAAGGAGGAGTAAGAGCGATATTTTCGGTGGATGGGAGTGAGATCAAAACGCTGACTTTGCATTGGGGAGTGGCTGTGAACTCTGACGACGAGTGGATCACTCCGGGAAAAGCCGGATGCCCTTCCATTATTCCTGCTCATTCGGCTCTTTACAAGGATCGTGCAGTAAGAACTCCTCTCAAGATGGTTGATGGTAAATTGCAAGCGGAAATCTGGGTGCCAGACGACTTGAAGCCCAAGCCCCTGATAGGAATCAGGTTTGTGCTCTTCGAACCAGACAGGGACAACTGGTATCCTGGTGGTGCAGGCGGAAACTTTTTCCTCCCGGTGAAGAAGACGGAAGGAAAGAAGATGCCGCACCTGCAGCGATCTCCTTCGTTCACTGGAGCTATCGACGTTGACAAAATGCGAGCTGATGCCAGTCCGCAATACTCCAAAGAAGCCAAGCCTTCAGGCACGGTCACGTGGAATCAGGACTTAGCCCATTTGCTCTGGAATGCTGCGCAGCGTGAAAAGGCGTGGGTTGATGGAAAGCAAGAAAGCAAGTCCATGAGACTGCAGCGATCACCTTCCTTTGAGTCTGCTGTCAAAATCATCGAAGCACGAAAGGCCCAGGAGGAGTCGCATCTTAAAGAAGCCGATGATTTCTACAAGAGTGAGGGAGGCAGACTTTACCGAATTCCGTTCTCCTATCAGAACAGTCAAGGAAGACAAGAAGGAGTCGTGAAAGCAAAAGTGAAGCAGTCGAAGGTTGAAATCAATGTCATTCCAGAAAGGGGAGACAAGGGGCCTGGCCCACTTGTCTTGCATTGGGGCGTTGCTGAGAAAGAACCTGGAGAGTGGACGCTGCCCAATCAAGAAACCATTTCCGCATTGGAGAGTGGAGAAGCGCACGGGAAGGCTGTAGAGTCTAAGTTCAAGACTGAGGTTGGAACAGTAGAGCAAAGTATCAAATTTGAGCTTCGAGGTTCGTTGCCTCCATCAATCTCTTTTGTGCTCAAAGACACCTCAAATGGAGCCTGGTACAAGGCAGACAATCATGATTTCTGCGTGCCGATCACTGAGGAAGGTCGCATCAGGCTTCAGGATAAGGGGAAGAGTAAATCTGGAGTCATACAGACCCCTCTAGTACGCACTCTGTCTGGAACTGAGATCTCTCCGCCAACTGGAGCCACCGTCGCCCGGGAAATCTTTGATTTTGAGAAGCAGGGCCATGTCACCCTGATGCATCGATATCATATGGCTTGTTCTTTGATTGATCGCGCTCCCCCAGGCGAGGCTGGACGTGACATCTTGTATTTCGTCTTCATTTGGCTCAGGTTCTCGCAGATTAGGCAGCTTTCATGGCAACGTAACTACAACACGAAGCCGAGAGAGTTGTCGCATGCATCTGAGCAACTGAACAAGTTGATATCCTGGAGATGGAAAAACTCAGGTCCAATTGAAAGAGAAATTTTCCGCTTAATGCTTGGTTGTATTGGTCGTGGTGGGTCTGGAGGTGACGGTCAAGCCATTCGCGATGAAATTTTGCACATTATGCACAGACATAGACTGCCGGAATCCAAGGGTACATTCGTTGAAGAATGGCATCAAAAGTTGCACAATAACTCCACACCCGACGACATCATTATTTGTCAGGCGTATCTTGCATTCTTGCACTCGAATGGAAATTTGGCAGAGTTCTGGCGTGTAATCCATGAGAATGGCTTGAACCGCGAGAGGCTGAAAGGATACGAGCGTGCAATCGTGACAGAGCCTCAATTCTTTGGTGACAAGAAGGACGGTCTGATCAATGATTTCAACAACTACTTGAGGATCCTCAAGAACGTTCACGCTGGGGCTGACTTGGAGAAGTGCGTTGAGGTTTGCCGTGGCTTTCTGGAAGGCCACATCAACGTTCTCCTTGAGAGCATCTTGCGGGAGCGAGGAGCTAACGAGGCCCGCACTCCAGCCGTTATCGACTCCATTACTGAGGTCAGGCAGTTGATCGGTGTCAAGATGACCAAGGAGGGAGATATTATGAAGCTGCGCGATCTCCTCTACCTTGACCTTGGCCTCGAGGCGCAGCTCAGACTCATGGCTGAACGCTCGTTGGGCTCTCTGGACTCGGTGGAGCTCAACACAGGAGCGCGTGCTCTCACCCTGTGGGTCGGGTTGGCCCTGGAGAACTTGGTGTACTCATCCTCCCCTGCCAAGGGCACGTTGGACCCCAACGTCCAAGACTCGCATGCCAACGAGCTGAAAGCTTGCTTGAGGGACTGGGTCCAGCTCGAAGAAGAAGTTCACAAGGGGATGACGCAAGGCTGGCCCACCAAGGCCATGGCTGTGGTTGAGAGAATGAGAAGGGCCATGGGCGACTATGTTGACGGCATCCAAAACAACATGCAGAAGAGAGCAGAGTATCTTGGGTACGGTTTGTGCGCTGTCACACCAGAGAAGATCCCTGAGAAGTGGAGCATAACGTTGTTCTCTGAAGAACTTGTTAGAGGAGGCGGGTGCTCGTTTGTTTTGTCCTCCTTCCTCAGGAAGCTGGACAAGGTGCTTAGAAAGCTGGGCGGTGGAACCATGTGGCAAGTGATCTCGACTGGGAAGCCGGGAGCTGTGGGTCAGCTTGTGGAGGTCCACGACCTGATGTCGGTCCAAAGTGAGACTTACTCGAAGCCGACGGTCCTCCTGGCGAACTCGCTCTCGGGCGAAGAAGAAGTTCCTCCTGGAGTGGTTGGTGTGATCACTCCTGATGCTCCTGACGTGTTGGCGCACATCTCTGTGAGGGCTAGGAATCTCAAAGTTCTGTTCGCCTCTTGCTTCGACCCTGATGAGTTTGACAACCTCGGGAAGCTTGTGGGCAAGACGGTATCTTGCCAGATTAGCGGAAACAGAGTCACTGTCACAGAGACAGGAGATGTTGCTTCCGGAGACGACATGAACCAACTCAACGAGGGCCTCAAGAACCTTAAGCTCGAGCTGCCTCCTCCAGCCAAGTTCACCTCCTTCTGCTTGCCTGAGGCATCCATAGACGTCAAGGCGTCGCCCAAGACCTTCGGAGCAAAGAGCACCAACATCGTCGCGGTGCGGAAGCTGCTTCCTGACTGGATCCAAACCCCCCGAAGCGCGGTTGTGCCGTTTGGAGTGTTCGAGAAGGTTATGAGCTGCCCCGAGAACAAGGAGATCTCCAAGGCATACAACGCCATCATAGACAAGGAGCTGAAGGAGACCAAGGATCCGCACGGGGTGCTGCGGAGGCTCAAGGATCTTACCCTCTCCCTCTCCGCCCCCAACGACCTCGTGACGCAGCTGAAATCTTCCCTGGAGAAGTCCGGCATCATCACGTCCGGAGAGTTGGAGGGGAAAGAGTGGGACGAGGCGTTCATGGCACTCAAGGGTTCGACCCCTTCCATCCTCACTTGAAGTCTTGACCCTCATGGCAGGTGTCTGGGCTTCCAAATGGAACGAAAGGGCCTACTGGAGCTGCAAGAAGTCCAACATCCCGGTCCACCAGGTCCAGATGGCCGTCTTGATCCAGGTGCTGCCACTGATCCGCCATAGTCGACTCGACGATGGCTGACGTTAGTCCGCAGAGGCTGGTGGAGGCTGAGTACGCGTTTGTGATCCACACGGTGAACCCGGCCACTGGCGACTCGACGGAGATGTATGCTGAGGTGCTGTGACTGAACTTGTGCTAGCTCCTGTTGTCCTCTTCCTGCCTTGCTCCTCTGTCACTGTCTCTGTCTCTGTATCCCCCTCTCTCTCTTTCTGTCTCCCTCCTTCCTTGCCTCCCCTCTCCTTCTCTCCCTCTCTCTGCTCTTTCCGTCTCTCTGTCTCTGTCTCTGTCTCTGTCTCTCTCTCTTTCTCTCTCTCTCTGTTCTCCTCCCTCTCTCTCTTCTCCGTCTCTTCCTAACTCTCCCTCTTGCTTCCGCACGCAGATTGTCGTTGGGCTGGGAGAGACTCTGGTTGGAAACTTCCCTGGCAGAGCCCTCGGGTTCTCAATGAAGAAGGATGGATCAGGAGATCCGACTGTGAGTTTGACCGCTGCTCCGCCCGATCACCTTGACAACCTCACAGGTCCACTCGCTACCCAGCAAGAGCGTCGGGCTCTTCGGCGGAGGTTTGATTTTCCGTTCGGACTCCAACGGAGAGGACCTTCCTGTGAGCATTGCCGAGAGGAGAGGAGGAGGAGTCGGGGGCTGGGAGGGGGGAGGAGACTGAGAAGGGGGGAGGGAGGGACGAGCGGAGAGTAAGAGGGGCAGAGCTGACTCGTGCATGTAGGGGTTTGCAGGAGCAGGGCTGTATGACAGTATCCCGATGGTCAAGAACACCAAGAAGACGTTGATGTACTTCAACGAGAAGCTCGCGACCGACAGAGGGTTCGCAGATAAGATTATGCGAGGAGTCTGCAAGGTTGAAGACGAGAGGATGGAATGCCTGATCGCTGATCGATGCTGTCAGGTTGCTGTCGATGTCGAGAAGGCCATGGGTGGAACGCCGCAGGTGAGGAGGAGGAGGAGGAGGAGGAGGAGGAGTGGGGAAGGAAGGGGGAGAGAGTGGAGGGGGAGGAGACAACGATGGAGGACTCACGAGTGGACAATGCAGGACATCGAAGGGTGTTACAGGGACGGAAAGTTCTACGTAGTTCAGACGAGACCTCAAGTGTGAGCACGAACTACTGCAGGGTGCGAGGGAGCAATAGTTATTCGATATTCATACAGAATGCAGCTTTACACACCCATCTCACCCTCTATCTCCTCCTCCCTCCTCCGTCCTTTCCCTCTCTTCTATCTTCCTCTCCTCTCCTCTCCTCTCCTCTCCTCCTTCCACTTCAGACGAGCATCAGGTCAGCTCCTCCGACTCGCTCTGCGGCGAGCTCGGCAAAGCTGGACCTTCTCCATAGGTTCTGGTCGATGACCAACAGAGCTGAGCCGGAGGAGGTAAGAGAGCTCATTCTCCTCCTGCTGCCGCCCACGGTGATGACAGTGGGAGGAGCGTCAGCGCTGATCTCCAGATCCCTCCCTCGCTCCTGCGTGGGACTCAACGGCGAGCTGACGGTCAGCAGAGATGAATGGCCGTTAAGATGCACTTGCTGCTCACCTCCGTCTAGCACCTTCTCCTCCTCTTCCTCGTCCTCGTCCTCTTCCTCTTCCTGCCCTTCCTCCATCCCCCAAGTCGGTTCGCAGAACCAACAAGGAGCGACGTGGTCAAGGGAGGAACGGAAGTCGAGACCCTCGAGGACGAGGAGGAAGGCAGTCTTGTCCTGCGCCTGAGGGCAGAGGACATCGGAAGAGACAAAGATTTGGTGCCCCTCGTTCCACAGGCCGAATCTGAGCATCATCATGTGGCCTGCGAGAGCATGTGACGTCTCCCTGACGTTCTTGCCCATGGCTTGCGTTCTGCTCTCCCAGTAGAGGAGGAGGATGCAGATCCAGGAGCACAGTAGCACGATGAGGATGATGACGAGGCCACCGATGCCGGCGAAGTTGCTGCTGCGGAACACACTCTGACTGATGGAGTGCAGGCTCTTCTTCTCCTTGCGCATCAGGACTGCAGTCATCCCATCCTCGCGGCAGGAGCAGGATCCTTTCATCGCGCCTCCAGTCATGGTGAAGCTCGTCGAGCAAGCGTCCTGCCTCCATGCTCCGCTCCTCCACAGAACGCACAGGAAGCTTGCTTCCTCATCCTCACTCAGTCGCCCCGTCAGGTTGAACGTGAATGCTACGATGAAGCAGGAGGAGGACGCGGGGCACGAGCCGCTGCCAGCGAGGAAGCGCATGCCCAGCATGCGGTCCGAGAGGAGCTGAAGCGAGTCTGAAAGGGGGAGGAGGTTGGAGTACCAGATGTCAGTCAGTGCAAAGAAAGCAACTCCTCCTCTTCCCGCTGCTGCTCTCCGAGCAGCAGGAGCTGGAGGGAGAAAGGAGACTTGAGCTCCACCTCCCCCAAAGTCTCGCATTTGCTCCACCCCCGAAGAGGAGAAGGAGAGCTTCAGGTACTTGCCTTCAAAGACGACAGGAGGCTCGAACGGCGACATGGTCTGAGTGTAGTTGGGAAGGGAGGAGGAGAGGACCTTGAAATTGCCCTCCCGCACGCTGTCCCGTGTCTCCATGCTCTGCAGCCGAGTAGAGATGAAAATGTTCTCAACGATTAAGAACGAGTCGCGCAGTCCTCCTCCTCTCAGAGACACGTTGTCCGCCTGCTGCAAGGTCAAGTAAAAGGTGCTGCTCGCAGTGGCTCCGTCCTCTGTGCTCAGCTCGTCGGGCGTGTTGAGCAGGAGGAGGGTCGTCTGCAGGCTGCTCGAGGCGCTTCGCCGGGACACGCTCGTGGCGCTGCCGCCCGCGAAGCTCCGGAGCAGCGTCGTTCTTACACGCATCCTGTACGCCTGGGAAGACGCGAGGAGACTTCTTGCTCCCCTCCTGTAGAGGCTGAGCTGGGGCAACAGACTTAGCATCACCGAGTTGATATACAGCAGGGTCTGGGAGAGCTGGCGGAGAGCTGAGAGCTTGGCGAGCGCTGTCTCCATGCTCTTGACGCTACTGTCCTCTGTCTGCGACTGATTGACAACCTGCTGGGGGATCTCGACGTGCTGGGCATCGGAGAGACTCTGCAACCCTACGCTGTCGGTGACAGACACAAGGATGGAGAAGTTGCCGCTGCTGAGGAACAGCTGGGTTGAGGAGGAGAGGGAGGGGGGAGACCAAGAAACGTCGAGGATGGAAGAAGAGCTGAGGCCGAAGGAGTACATGATGGGGAGGTTAGTAGAAGACCATTGCCGGCACTCGCACGTCACCCCCGGCTCTCCTCCTGCTCCTGCTCCTCGAACCTGACACGAGCAGCTGCCTGGAGCTGGGGGGAGGCTGCGTACAAACCACATGCTCGCCGCTCCCTCTTGCCCCGAGCTGGCGTCCAGCACCCTGAGGGTCACAACGTAGGCGGCGAGTTTGACATCCGGGTTGTCCCTGAGGATGATGAACTCTGGCGAGGAGTAGCCAGCTGGGAAGAGGCTGGGATGCAGCTCGAGGACCCTTCCAGTCAAGTCTTGTACAGACCAGCTGTAAGTCCAGGTTGTTCCCTCCTGTTCGACCGCGAGCTTGTCCCAGAAAGAGTCCCGGCTAACGACGCTGATTGCTGTGTTGATGGGAGGAGCGGAGGAGAGGTTGTAGGCGACAGCAAAGGAGGAGAGCTGGCCACCAAACTCGACTATGACGGCGAAGTTGATCTGTTCTTCGTCGTTGATGTCGATCTGAGTGAGGTCTGCGGAGGAGACAGCAAGTCAGTCAGGATGACAAGGACGTGAAGACATCAGTAGCATCAGCAGATGTCCATAACAATCAGCAATCACAAGGTCAGTCGTTACAACAATCTGCATCATATCATCGCAAGGAGAGTTTTCTCACCAACATCGATCACTGCGGAGTTTGCAAACGTCATCACACCGCCATCGCCCTTCCTGCGGCAGACTTGATCTGCCAGGTAACAGCTCCACTTGAACGACAAGATGTCGACCGAGCAGCTCGACTGCTGCTGGCAGAGGGCCTTGCTGAAGGAGGAGGAGGCGTCCAGCTGCAATGCTGACTGCTCCCTCCAGATCGTCCTGTTGCCTCCAGCTATTCCTGCGGTCAGGGGAGCCGGTCGCAGCTCGAAGCTTTTCTCTGCAAACACGTTCGCTCCTCCCTGACCCACCGCGTACAAGGAGACCCTGAGGACGTAGGACGTCTGCCCATCTCTCCATGGCACATCAGCTGGGAAGTAGAGTTCCACTTCCGAGGAGTTATAGAGGAAGATTTCGTCCATGCTCGATAGCTCCACGATCCTCCACAGGAGGAAGAAGCTGGTAGGTGGGGGCTGGCAGCTCGACTGCTGCAGGAGGGCAGCTGCGTAGAAGCTCTCCCCTCTGCTGATGACTGGAGAGATCTGTTGAATGGAAAGAAGGAGAGAAGTGTCGGCCTGCTCCAGCAAGTGGGAGGAAGACGCTGCCTGAACGCCAAACATGCTCGTCCCCCCGACCACGATCTCGTACGTCAGTGCTGGTTTGAGTTCTGTTCCTCTGAGCACCAAGGCGTCTCCCTGCTCCCTGCTGAGCCGCTGGTTCAGATCTGCGTCATTGCTGCAGCCCCAGGAGTAGGAAGACATGCGGGGGAAGGAAGAGGAGACGCGCAGAGTCGCCTCGTCGCAGCTGCTGATCACGTTGGGTCCTGCGATGTCCAGCTGTGGGATGATGAGCTCAGCTGGACTGAGCAGGGTCACAAGCTGGGGGGAGGAAGGGGAACTCTCCCCTCCTCTGTTCTTCAGCCCTCCGCGGGCCTGTATCATGTCTCCAGGCCTCAACGCCGAGTTGCTGGGGAGGAGGAGCAGCAGCCGGGAAGGGTCCGACCACAGGCACTGGGTGCTGTTGCCAATGGAGTCGGGGAGGAGGAAGAAGTCGCTGCAGGGGGAGGAGACGAGGAGAGCGTCGGTGTCCTGGTCAAAGAGGAAGAGAATCGTCGTGCCCAGCGATTCGAAGGAGGACGAGAGGATGCGGGGAGGCCACACGAAGGTGATGGGGGAGGCCGCGAAGAAGGAGGAAAAGTCGTTGAAGGTCAGGTAGGAGACGAGGGACGTTTCGTTTGCGTCTCCCCTCGCTGGCTTCGGGATCGTCACCCGCACTTCGAGCTCTGCGACGAAGTCGAAGGCGACCGGGCGGCCGTCGAGCTGCACAGACAAGGACGAGCGAAGCAGGCGTGTCGCTCCTACCAGCCGCCATGTTCGGTTCACCTGCTGGTCAGCGGGGACGACGGAGGAGGAGAGGGAGACGGCCGCCATGGTCGGGTCGTAGGAGATGAGAGGAGCAGACGCGGACACGTCCTGAGAGATCCTACTGACGGTGAGGAGGAAGAGGCCGGGAGGAAGGGGGCCAACTGCTACCTCTATCTCGGTCCCTGTGTGCATCATCAGAAGCCCGAGAGTCAAGCACAAGAACCCTCACCGTACTCGTCAGAGAAGGCGATGCTGACGTGCTCGATGGCGTCCTGACCAGCGATAGAGACGTTCGCGTCGGCAACGGAGAGAAACGCGTCGAAGCCTCTCAGCCAAACTTTCATCGCCGTTGGTGAGTTCTGCTGCACGGCAGACGGGAGGATGCGGAAGATGGAGGGAGGTGGGCGAGAGAGGGGGATGGGAAACGCCAACTGCACCTCACTCCTCAAGATGTTGCTGGGGATGTTGCTGGGGATGATGATGCCTTCCCACTTGCCGTCGGATTCAAGCGCTGGGAGATACACATCAATGACTGTCTGCTTGGAGTTCGTCGAAACAACCTGGTGCAAAAATTCATGTCAGGTTTCTGCTTCCCTAGCACCATGCCAGATAGTCGACCTTGAATGAAGCTGAGATCCTCGTCGACTGATTGTCTACCTTGTACACGTCAAGTTTTGCAGATTTGATGTCTCCAAAGAAACTGTTCATCACGACCTGCAACTTGCACCCTAAGTACCAGTAGCATGCTTCTCCCTGCACAGTAACGGTGCCCATCGACGGTCGATCAACTAGCCGAATGTAAGCGTTAAGGTGTTTGACGTCTCCGGAGCAATTCGCTACGAGCTCTGATCGCGATGGGACTAGCAAGTCTGGCACAATTGCTTCAGCTCGAGTCAACTGGCTGTCTGTGATGGAGAAGTTGATGGCTTGAGTTGAGCCGAAGAGGAAGAAACATGTAAGGTTGGCAAAGAGGGAGAAATCGGACGATATGGTGACCAGCTCGCCTCCTTGGAAGAAGATGTTGGGAGATATTGAGGTGGGACGCGGAGCAAAGACAAACAAGAAGCAGCCAATGACGACGTCGGACTCAAACAGGTTGACTGTTATGTTTCCCTTCAACCCAATCTGCGAGAAGGAGGGACATCGTACCAAGACACTACTCAGAGTCAAATTCGTGTACTTGAGTGGCACAAAGTTGGCGGACATCGAAAGATTCCGGAAGGTGTCGTTGTTGAGGAAAACCCTGAGGATGTTCCCTCCGAAGAATTGACAGACGGATGGCGTGACTGAGTACATTTTCGGAGGAGTCGAAACACCAGTCGTTTCGTTACAAGCTGAAATGTTGCTGGTCTCATTCGTGCAGCCTGCTGTCTTGTTTGAACCTACCACGTCCCCTGCGCTGGTCCCATTCTGAGATCCAGAGGAGTTTCCAATGCTCGTCGTACTCAACGCCCGTGTAAACGTCATCAACCCCGGTATGTCTTGCAACTTCACCTTGGAATCGAAAAAGTAGAGATCCGAGGAGACTGTTGCAGCAGCGTTCGGCCATGGATCGAAGCTCTCCCCGGCATAGCTTACGAATGATGTGTTGACTGCAAACCTCCCAACCTGCTCATCACACCACTCGTCGTCTCTCAGCGGATCTCCAAACGGAGCATCCCCCGACCCCACCTGCTTCCCATCTATCCACACCCTGACCCTCCCTGGCTTCACCCTCACTTCTACAATAAGCAGATGCACCTGGTCGTCTGTGGGGTAGTCGGTGACGTCGCAGTACGCAACTGTCTGGTATGTTGTTCCTTGCTCGATCTTAGAAGCTCCTCCTGCCTGTACGCGCATGAAAGGAGGAGATCCCGAACGAAAGCTGATCATGGTGGTTGTTTGCTGTCCGACTACCATGAGCACGGAGTTTTTGCCTGCTATGAGATTCATTGAAAGGGCGCTTGCCATTAGGACATCATCTTTTGCGTCAGTTCTGCTCACTGTGAACGTGGAGGAGGGAGATACACGCATGAGGACATCGGTGTTGCTCGATTGGCCTCTTTGTTTTGATTTCCTTCCACCAGATAACTTTTCGACCCTATGTCGAACTTCGCTGAATCTTGCCCCAGCCGGTTGCACGTCATGCTGGTAGGTGGCTGACTGGTGTGTTGAAAGATGGTCTGAATTGTAGAGTGAGTTCCATCCAGTTTTGATGCCAGAAGTGATAGATCTCTCTGCTGCCAATGCGCTCCCGCTGACGAATAGTATCGAAACAAATGAATGTACAAGAATGACCTGAGCTGCGCTCATGCTGCAAAACAAGTCCACCCGTCCACTTCTTGATCAGGAATTCGTTAAACCACTCACAGTAAATGAAAAAGTCATGAGTTGTATGCTTCCTGCAATTCGTCTTGTCCCTTTGTTCTGCACAACGCCGGTTCAGTGTGTAACCAAAAGCAGATTCGGGCAAGGGTCAGAAGGGACGATCGAACTGTTCTTGATGGAAGAAGCCTTTGGCAACATGGGTCATATCAACCATCGTTCAGACAGGGGAGGCGCCGCTAGGCTCGTCCTCATCGCTTCCTCCTTCTCCATTGTCGCCCCTGCTCTTGCGCCATCTCGCTGCGCCTGCCCGACAAATATCCTACAGCACCCCAAATGCGACCACCCCTATCCATTCCGCTACCCACCCTCTCAAGGTCATGCCCGGCAACTTCACTGTTCAATGACCCCCCCTTCATCCTCTTTAAGTGTATGGAGAATCACCGGTCATACTACCTACCCCATAGCTGGTCAAGTGTCTTGACAAAGAAACCGGTTGAACTTTTGACTCGGCCGGACCCCCACCCCCATGTCCAGAGTCCACGAACGGCCCCTCACATCTACAGCAAGCCTGCCTCAAATTCATGAATCGGAAAATGAAAGGGCAGCAAAATCCTCTTACGAGCCCCCCCAAAAAACGCTTTAGGGCTTGTGCAGGAGAGCCCTTTGATTGCTGACCCAAGAACCGAGCGAGCCGTCGAAGAAAGGAGATTTCTGACTCTGCGATACCATCACATGTCCATGTTTCTGCTTGAACACCATCAGCTGCGCAATCCGCCGGCGCCATGTCACGTTGTCTATATCTCTGTTCCTGGAGCGCTTGGAGGAAGTGGACTCACCATTGGCTGCCACGCCAGAATCCTGAGCATTGTCATTTGGAGAGCATTTCTCTTTATCGTTTGCGTCCTTGCTTTTCCAGATGTCTTCGGTTTCCTCAGTGCCGGTGCCAAAAATGCTATCGAACGACATGCCCTCGGGATGACTGACACTGAAGTCCGACGCGTTAAGGTTCGGCGCCTTTCTTTGATTCCTCGGTGACTCAGCAGGCTCGGAGGAGCTGCAGGAGCATACGGTCCTCCTTGAATTTATGGAGTGCGCCTGAAGGAGGTCATCAGTTGCAGTCAAACATCACACAGGGGCCCATACCTTTGCGCTCTCAGTATCGTCAGTGCTGTCCGAGCCGAGTGAACTCCCGTTGAAACTTTGCGCGGCCGAGTTATTTGCGATGGGAAACTCTTCATGCATGCATGAAGGGACCATCTCCCCTTCAAACTCATTCGCTCTAGATGGGCAAAGGGATGATATCACACTCGAGAATGACATTTCGGGAACCGAGCGGTTGGTTGGTTTTCTGCGTTTCGAGCCAAGCGTCAGTGATGTGCGAACAAGGATCGATTCAAGATACCTGTTTGTCTCATCATGGGGAAGAGAAATGCCTGTGTTAGGCTCTACATTCCGATTCGCAAGGACTGTTTTCAGCTGGTCCTCCTCAGAAGGAATCGGGGAGTATCGGCAATCAGTCTCTGGCGACGAAGGCGACCAAACTTCTTGTTCATCAGGAGATCCAACTTCCTGCTTCTGATCATCGGCGAAGTCTTCCTCTGTAAGCTTCAAGTCATATGTCTGCTTGCTCCGCTTCGCCGGGGGAAGGCAGGCAGGCTGTCTCAACATTCTAGCTTTCCTTGCCAGATGAAGCTCAATCGAGGACACGAAAGATTTGACATTCAGTTTGTGTTGCAGGAAAATGTCAGTCATCTCTTCAATGGGGCTCGAAGAAGAGTAGAAAGTGGCGAGCCAGCTTCCTATCTTGCCCTCTTCAACAGGATCGAGGCAGCCCGGTACCAGCCAGCTGAACACCCATCTCCCCAAAGACTTCCTCACGCTCAGAAAGAAACTGGGAAAAGGCGGTTAGTAACTCCTCTGACACGCAGAAACAAAGACAGATCTCACCCTGGTGGAAGAGAAGGTTCCTGAGCATGAACGTCCAGGCGGTTCGACTTGCAAATACACTCACAATGGCAGAACTTCATTATCCTCTGTGGAGTGGCAAGCGATGCGTTGGAAGACTAGGGAGAAGGAGGTCTTCTCCAAGGTGGGCTTGCTCAAGCTGCGAGGTGGACAATTCCAATTCTGAGGCGGCCAGCAGACTTTGTTTCCGAGTCTAATCCCTGATCAGACTGAGATCTGACGATAGTGACGGATCTCAACCGTCCTCTGAACAGTCCTGGCAATCCTGTGCCACAACACTGCCCGGCCGTCACAGCGATAGAAACGCTCTCTAGAACTTTCCCTCCACATTGACGCGGCAGTTTGCCACCGACTCGTCACTAGTATACTCGCACAATCTTGAAACTTCAGAGCGGCGGAAGCCGCTCATTGGCCGATATTCGATCATGGCATGGCAACTTTTCACAACTGACTGCCACGGTTGGAGCTTTGGAATTTTTGGGAAAGTTAAAGGGATGAGCTCAGCTGTGAATCTGATCACAAGAAAACAGTATTTGGCAAAAGGAAAGAGCAAGACCGGAAGGCAACTGACCAATTGTTGGTTGAACCAGAAACAGCCCTTTCACTGCACAAGGACATGTCAAGTTTTACTTTTGTGTGAGGGCTGTGACTGTTGCTCCAACAGTGCACGATTCATCTAAGGGATCAGTCTGCAGGCATGCCATGAGGATCATGTACGAAGATGATGCAAAACTAAAATGCACAATGCACATCAAGTTGACAAACACATGAACTTCTACGCTGTCTCAGGTTTTGATTCGGATGTACAAGGAGAGGTTGCAATCAAGACCCGGATCTGTTGTCATGGGAAAGGCTTCAGACAACTGGCATCGAGCAAAGTGAGGTTTGCTTTAAAACTGAAACAAAATAAACCAAAACAAGTCTCTTTGATTGAGGGCTTGACCTACAGTACAAATATCCGACAGAAACTAGTATTCGATACTCTATCAATACGATGATTGTTCTTGAGTTGCTCAAAATTTATTGTTAAAATGAGTCGCTGCGCTTCAGGATCTCCATTGAAACGACATCACTGGCTTGCAGTCAGGCCAAGGGCACGATTGTACGCACGGCGTTTCTGAAACAATGAGAACTTTACTCCGGTGAATTTCTCGTTCTTCTTGATGCTGGACTGGTATTTGATCCTGTAGCTCCCAGCAGATCGGCCCTGCGAATCTGAAGAAACCTGAACCTCGTTCATGGAAGACAACAACCGGTCTTCGAAGGGAGCTTCTGGTTCCAGGTAGACCGAGTCAATGAGGGTCTGGAGCCTGTCCACTGAGATCGTCCGCTTGTTGCCGACGATCTGCTTCCCCTCTATCTGGTCCGGACGTGCATGACCTATCGTCGTGGCCATTGTCGCGTCTATTCCCCTCGTACCTCCTCCGAGTGAAGATAAATCACTCCACGCAGTTACCCCTGGCACCCCCACCCCGTCATTCACCCCTGAAATGACCCACCCGAAATTGACTTACCTGCCATTTCTCCCCATGTTCTAAAAAGGCATCTCGGGCGTTGGATCGGGGCTGCAACCCTGGACTACCCCCACCCCTGAAAGAATCTCCATTATACCGGTACATTATGTACCTCGTCTTCAAAATACACTCGTTGGGCAATTCACTCCAAGAAAAATTAATCGAAAAGAAATGTTTTCGATTCTCTGGAATTTTCTGTTTCCCTGACACGTAACATGCCATGTGACCTCGATGTCGGACGTACGGTTTACGACCCCCCACCACACCCTGAAATCTCACGAGGAAGGTAGGGGTCATACAACAGCACATTGTTCCCATGACCCACCTCAAGACCATCACTGTCACGTACTCTGTACCGGTCGATCGAGACCTCTACAACAGTCACGGGGGACTGAAGGCTCGTGATTTCCCGATCTACACACGCCGCGGTCTAAAAATCCAGCCTGCAATTTTGAAATTCAACATAGCATTTGGAAAACTGACTGGATTTCGAACGGACATCGAAGCCGGCCTCCAGCCTAAGAGCCACTGTTCCATTTGACTGCGAAGGAGTCAGGTTGAGTCACAAGATGTTTACAGCGCGAAAAGGTCGGTCACGGTCCGTGTGACTCAGTACGACTAGGAGGCACAGTGCCGCAGTGCCACGTAGTAGGCCCCCGGGCCCGGCCGGCCCCCGGCGGCCGGCGGGCCGGGCCGGGGCCGCGGGAGTCTAGTGATCCGACAGACTCGGAACTGAATTTGTTCTGCTGCCCGACAAAATTCCCAAAGTCTTGCCCAGCTCGAAGAAGAGAGGGAGGAGGGAGAAGACGGAAGGTGGTAGAGGAGAGGAGGAGGAAGAGGCGGAATCAGAAGTAAGGAGGCAGGAGGAGGCAGGATAAGGAGTGTTAGGAGGACGAGGAGGATGAGGAGAAGGATACATGTTTGATCCTTGTGCGGGTATAACTGCTCGACAGGGAATGTTGATCCTAAGGTCCCTCAACACACAGAAAGGTTGCGACCTTGCCTTGACCGAGAGGTAGCAACATGCCAGGTGCATGCTGTATCCATCTCTGACCTGTCTTGCCAGCAAGTGCATCCTGTTTGGTAGACACGACCGATGCCAAGTACGACCTCTGCTCTGCACTTCCAACCCTGAGTGACAAATAATGCCAGGTTGTCCTGTACGACAAATTTGCGTCGAGCCTTCATGCTCGACTCGTCACGCACAAAGAGGAGGAGGAGGTGATGGTAGCCGGGATATTGTGTCCTCCACATGAATCTCCTCCCAACAGTTCACGGTGACCTTGCACGACCTGAGCACCAACGGCGCGTATGTCAACCAGGACAAGATCGGGCGAGGAAGAACGGCTGTGGTCAAGGTTTGCTCCTCCTTTGCTGTGTGCACACGTGACTTGCTGGCCTGGTGCAGGTGGGCGACTGTATCTCCATGGGCAGACCTCCAAGAGCCCTGGAGAACGGCCTCTTTCTCGACTACTGGGCATGGCATGGGGGGATGGAGGCGCATCCCGGGAAGCGATTTTTGATCAGGATGGGCAGCGACAAGTTCTTTGCTCTTGACAAGAAGATGGTGATGGTCGGGAGACAAGAAGGATGCGATGTTCTAGTGCCGGTCAAGGATGTTAGCAAGCAGCATTGCCGCATCACTTTCATGCTGAGGAGCGGTTCAGAGCACGTGTTCGGCAGTATGGAGGATGAGACGGAGTATGAGATCAAACTTGAGCATTTGTCAACTACCAATCGCACTTACGCCAACCATATGACTGTTGAGGGATCGGTAGAGTTGCGCCACCTTGACGTCATCGATCTTTCTCGAAAGCACTCGAACTCTTTCTTGTTCATCGACAAGAAGAAACAGGTGATGTACCCTTCTGAGAGTTTTTCGATGTTGCTTGACTGGCGTGCAAGACATTTGTTTCATACAAATTAGAACAGGTCCATCAATCCAGTGAAAACACTCCGATCACAGCAGCAAGTGTGGTTCCTCGGCCGACAGAAGACCAGGCAGCTATCAACGCGGAGTATGCAGGTAGGGTGGCCAGATTGTGCTTGTATGATCTAGAGTGAAGGTTTGACGAAGAAATACAACATCCTGGAGAAATTTCATGAAAACAAATCTGTTGGCATAGAGGTGAGATGAGAAACAAGAACGTTCAGATTCGACCAGTTTTGCAGATGCGTCGTGTGGTACGAAAGGCGGATAAGCAAGTCTTTGTGTGTAAGAAGTTCAAATCCATTCAGAGGAGAAATACACAATCGGACGAGCAACGCAACAAAGAGTTGGATCTAATGATGATGGTCAAGCACCCCCATGTATAAGCTTGTTCTCTTTGTTCTCTTCTGCATGATCGGAACGGCAGCTAAGTGAAGGTCAGATCGTCAAGCTCGAAGACGTCTGCATTGATCGATCTTCACTCTGCATCGTCATGGAGCAGGTCAGGAGGATCTTTGTCGATAGAGCTGAGGTCGCCTTCACAGCTCGCGGGAGATTTCTTTGACTACTTGAGTCAAGTCCTGCAGGATCCTGAGAATTCGGATGGCATTGAAGAGTCGCTGGTTTGACTTGCTCTCTCCTCCTCGCTGCCCTCTGCTGCTTCTCCGCTTCCCTTCATCCTTAGCCTGCAGTGCCTCCCTCTTCCCTTCTCCCTCCTCTTTCCACCTCTTCCTTCCTCCCTCCTCCCTCCTGCCTCCTCCCCCTCCTCTTCTACATTGGTGTCTTGGTTTGGCTTCCCGCCATTCTTTCTTCCTCTGATACTCTATGTCGTGATTGATCGCAGGCTGCAAAGTGGTTTGCTCAGATCTTCGATGCCCTGGATTATCTCCATGACAGACAGGTCAAAGCGATAAGATTCTTGTTGTGTATACGTTTCTTGATGTGTACATGTTTCTTGATGTGTGAAGGCTTCTTGTTGTGCTGATATGAAGTGGCTCAATCTTCTTTGCAAACAGATCATTCATCGTGACTTGAAGCCAGAGAACATTCTCCTCACAAGACTGGACCCTTCAGGAGATACTAAGGTGCCGTTCCTTTCTCCTGCTTTGCTCTGCCTCATTCCTCCCAGCTCTGCGATTTCGGCGTGTCGAAGTTGATTCCCGATGGGTGATTTCAGCATCAGCATCAGCATCAGCAAGTGACTTGAAACCTTGCAGACGCTGCTCGAGCTACATTGGAACTCCTGGCTACATCGCACCTGAGGTGTCTGAAGGGGGAGGTGAAGTCAAGCGCTCAAGTCCCTTGCTTGCCTGCCTGTCTCTTTCGTCCTTTCTGTGGCCCTGCCCTGCCTTGTCCCCCTGCCCTGCCCTGCCTTGTCCCCTTGCCCTGCCCTGCCCTGCCCTGCCCTGCCTTGTACCCCTGCCCTGTCCTGCCTTGTCCCCTTGCCCTGCCCTGCCCTGCCCTGCCCTGCCCTGCCCTGCCCTGCCTTGTCCCCTTGCCCTGCCCTGCCCTGCCCTGCCCTGCCCTGCCCTGCCCTGCTCTGCCCTGCCCTGCCCTGTGCTGTCTTGTATCTCTTTTTGCTCACCTGTCCTCCCTCCTTGCTGGAGCTGGCTGCTGCTGACATAGACTTCAGCGAAACCCTATGACTTCAAGGTCGATTCCTGGTCGTTGGGTTTCACACTGTATCAGATGCTGAGCGGGTTGGACATCAAGGCGCTGGGAAGTAAAGAAAACATTAGCAACCGAACAATAGTCTCATACTTCAATCAGATCTGCCAACTGGGTTTGCCGCTGCTGCTGCTGCTTCTGATAGGGAGAGCGATGATGAGGAATTCCCTGGAGAGGTCACTTGTTGTGCTTCCTGCCCTTGTTTTACTCTCTTGTAGAGATGGAAGTGCCTCAGCTTCTTAGTCAAGGATCTCATCTCCTCTCTCGTCAAACCCGACCCTCGAGAACGGATCTCAGCCAAGGTCAGCAAGTCATCCTCGTCGACCACCTGCTGCTGCTGCTGCTGATGATGATGATGATGATGATGAGGAGGAGGAGGAGGAGGAGGAGGAGGAGGAGGAGGAGGAGGATTGGAGAAGGAGGAGCAGCGGGAGGAGCAGGATGGGGGGGGAGGGGCAGGGGGGTGAAGAAAGATGGCGGCGACGACGACGGAGATGAAAATGAAGATGATGATGATGATCTAACTATCGAATCATCTCCTCACCCGCGCCATTGACCTAATGTGGTGGCAGGAAGCGAAGAAACATGATTGGTTCAAGTCGGCAGGTCAGCACAGAGCAACAATCAAACTCTGCGTCTAATCCCTTGCAGATTCTCCAGCCCTTCGCACACGGGCAAGGAAGAGAAATAGAACCGCAAGCTAGCGGGCGCTAAGGGAGGGAGAGCTGGAGGGAGGGGCGAGAGGGCGAGGAAAGAGAGGAGGAGCAAGAGGCGACAAAAAGAGCAGGAGAGTTGAAAATGTAAGACAAAGGAAATGAAATCAAATGTGCCGTACCCTGCTTCCACTTCAGCTCGTCAAGGTCCCCGAGAAAGGAAAGAAATCTGACCAGGCGGAGAATCGTAGCGATCGGCTGCTATCTGAGCCGGGGAGGGAAGGAGGAGGAAGAGGAGGAGAAGGGGGACGGCAGGAGTCTCAGAGCAGGGGCAGAACCTTTACTCAGAAATCAAAATCATCCTGCTGACCATCCTCCACCTGCAACAAACATAAACAAGCACATCGAACAAGCTCTAGCAGCAGAAGGTGATAGAAAGAAAGTTTCACCGGCGTCTTGGTAGACCACATGCTTCCTTTGAGCAACGAGCCTAAGACAAGAGCAGTCGATCAGTCTGAGCTCCCTCTCAGCAAGTCCGGGACCGAGAGATTGCGGGGCAGTCGACGGCCGCATCGTACTGGAGCCTCCGCCATGAGAAGCGACGGCCTTGGCATACTGTCAAGAAATCAGCACGTGGCTGAGAAATCAGAAGAGACGAACAGCAAACGGAGGCTTCTTGATGTTCACAACAACCTCCTCCTCCTCATCAGACGCTTCCTTTCCATGCCTGCAGGATCAACCAACATGGTCAAACCTTCCAGCCTCCTCCTCCCTCGAGTCATACTGCTCCAACGACGGCGTCGCCAACATGCGCGACAGAGAAGAGGGGGTCGAACTCTTCTTTCCCAGGAAAGATCCCGCAAACTTGGCGATCTTGTGCAGCTGGCTCGTGCTGGACTTGACAGGAGCTGTTTGAGGTCGGTCCTCATCTGTAGGAAGGTGAGGCGGAGGAGGAGGAAGAGAAAGAGGCGAAGAAGGAGGAGGAAGAAGAGAAAGAGAAGGAAGAGGAGGAAGAGGAGGAAGAGGAGGAAGAGGAGAAGAAAAGGAAACGAGAGGTGCTGCGAGCACCTTGCTTCGATGGCTGACTCCCTACCTGACCTGGCCCTGCGACAGGTTCAGCCGACCAGCTCTGAGGAGACAAACGAGAGGTACCAGCAGAGGCGGCAGGTTGTACAGCATAGCCAGCAACGTGGAGGAGGAAAGCCTCGATCTTCTTCTGCTCTATGACGTCACAAGGAGCGAGAGGGAAGGGAGTCAATCTTGACCTTGGTCGCAGGCGTCGGTTTCTGAGCTCCCATGAGCACCTGACGTGGTCCCTCAAACCATCACAGGAGGCGTCAGAGGTCGGGGGTTACATGCGACATGGCCTCTGCGAATGAGGAAGGAGCCACGTGATCCTTGATGCTACTCATGTGCCGTTTGACTTGCCGCCAAATCTCCTGCTTCTCCTGCTCGTAGGCGGTAAGGCTCTTGCTCTCTACAACCCGCGCAGCAGGATCGGCAGGACAGCTCCTCTACCTCTTCGATTGTCGCAAAGAGCCTTGCCTCCTCGTAGTCTGCTGGATTGCAGTCCCACAGGTAGTCCTGAGTTTGTGAGGATCATGAGGAGCAGAAGCAGGAGAAGGCGAAAACGAGAGGAGGAGGCAGGAGGAGGAGGAGGAGGAGGAGGAGGAGGAGGAGGAGGCAGGAGGAGGCAGGAGGAGGAGGAGGAGGAGGAGGAGGAGGAGGAGGAGGAGGAGGAGGAGGAGGCAGGAGGAGGAGGAGGAGGAGGAGGAGGAGGAGGAGGAGGAGGAGGAGGAGGAGGAGGAGGAGGCAGGAGGAGACAGGAGGAATCAACCTGCACGAAGGACCTGGAAATGATTCCTCCGGGCACCCTGATCTTGAGTGAGCGGGAGGAGCAGAGACAAGAAGGAGGCAGGAAGAGAGGAGGGGAGAAGAAGAGAGGAGGTGAGAGGGCAGACAGAAAAAACATCGTGATGTACCAAGGAACAAAGGGAGATGAAGGGTAAGAAACGAGAGGAATGAAGGACAAAAGCTAGAGCAGAGCAGAGCAGAGCACAGCACAAGAGGAGGAGGAGACCTCTTGATGAGCTCAGCAAAGGAGGCCGCACTGTTCTCCAGACCGTTCTGGGTTGGCGTACAAATTTTCACCTCGACAGATGTAAATCTCACTCTTGCCAGACCTTTGAGACAGCATTCGTGTTGGAGGTGATGTCTTTCACGATCAAGGCCTGTCAGCCTACATCAGTGCACAGCAATCGGCCAGCAGGGGATGCTCGCAGACAAGTTTCTGAAGCGAGATCTGGTAGAAGTTGTTGTTGTAGATGTTGGAGGGGAAAGGCTCTTGGCTTGCCACGTGCTCCTTAGTCGCTGCGTCCAATTGCACAACCAGATGTTTCACGACCTTCAGGTAGTTCAGAACTTCCTTCTCACCTTCTTTCTCCTCCCCGTCCTGCATGCCCTTCTTTTCCTCCCTCCCTCCCTCCCTAGCCCGCTCGCTCCGCCAATCTCTCCTCCTCTTCCTTTGAACGCAAGCTCGATCACCTTGAGGTGTGTCCGCAAGTCAGGGAGGGTTTGGCTCAGGTACGACTGAACTTGTTCGTCAGTCTGCAAGTTTGTCAGCAGGACTGCAGAAGCTCTGAGCAAGCAGACCATGGACATCATGATGTGATCCTGAAAAAGTGAGGAGGCGTAAGTGAGATGGCATGGAGAGGGGGAGACGAGGGAGGGGGGGTGGAAAAAGAGAAGCGAACAGGGAAGCGGAAAGGATAGTATGCAGGAACAAAGGAGGGGGAGTAAGGGAGAGAGAAGAAAGAAAGTAGCCGATCACCTCTTGCTCTTGATCCAGTGACTTTCTTGTCTGCTCTGTTTGCGCTTTGCTCGTTCGTGCTGCTGCTTCCCGTACTTTGGTTTCCTCTGCTTTCTGCCTCCCTTCATGCTCCATCGACTCTTTCAGCCTCCTCTCCTCTTCCCTCCTTTCAGCCTCCTTCTGCTCTTCCTCCCTCCTCTTCTCTTCCTCCTCCTCTTTTCTTCCTCCCTCCTCTTCTCCTCCTCCCGCCTCTTCTCCTCCTCACGCCCCTTTTGTGCTCGTCTCTCTTCCTCCTGTTCGTCCCTGCGCCGCTCTTCGTCTCGCCTCCTCTCCTCCTCTCGGCGCTGTGCTTCAGCCTTTCTCTCGGCTTCTCGTCTTGCCTCATCCCTCCCTCCTTCCTCTCTCCTTGCTGCTTGCCTCTCCTCCTCCTCCCTCCGTCTTTGATCTAAAGCCCTCCTTTCTTCCTCCTGCTTCTCAACTTCCATGGTTTTCTCGATCCTTCCCATCGTGTCCTCTTCTCTCTCCTCGTGTCCTCCCCGTTCCCCCGCCTTCTTCACTCTCGTCGTGTCACCGTCTTCACTGTCTTCTCCTCTTGCGCTCAACTCGTGGATCGCCTGCCCTTGCAGGCTATAGTCTGACCCGCTGGTCACTTTCATTTGCTTCCCTTCTGGACTTTGCTTGAAGCCTTTAACCTCCTCCCTCTTGGTTTCTCTGTCCTTGTCGATGTTTTGATTTGATCCTTCTTCTTTCCCTCTCTGCTCGGCCTTGTCGCTTCCTTCCTTCCTTCTCTCGCCATGCCCATCCGAAAGCGAACGATCCTCGTCGTCCGTGCTCCTGTTGAACTTCTCGGAGGTTCGGTGCTCAACCTTGACAACAACATCTCGATTTGGTGATCGCATCTCCTCTTGCACAGTCGTCGCTCCCTCCATCTCTTGCTTGTCCTTGTCTTCTGGGATCAAACTCACCCTCCTGGCCTCATTGGCCCCAACAACTTTCACTCCACGCCCTTGCACCGATGCATGCACATCTGCCAAACATGACGCAGTCAACATGACAGCATCGAGTAGCGTCATGGCAGTGAGTGGAGAGAAGAGTGAGCAGGTGAGGCTGGAGGAGCAACGGGCACCATTTGAAGTCTCTGGGTCTTGGTATTGAGAATCGCGAGCTTACAACATGTCAACACCCCACGGAGTTGAGCAGCATGTTCCAACCTGCTTTCCGCTCCTGCAGATTTTGATCGGAATGCCCTTGAGAGCGTCTTGACTTCTCCTCCAGCATCTTCATCCTCTCCTTCAGATCCATAGGAATCAGATCGACAACGCATGAGACAGTACGGTGTACATGTTTCTCCTTTGCCTTTGCTGCCTGCTCTTCTTTCTGCTTCTTCTTCTCCCTGTACTCGTCCACCCTGCATGCGCCCACAGGCGTCAGGCGGCAACGAGGTAGTGCCCGTTGCGCGAACCATCGATGCATGTTGTTGTCAACGTATCGTCTGACTCGATCTTTCTCACTCTGACACACGATCAGCAAAGATGGAGGACATGAGCCTCTCACTACCTCCAGAGTTGCAAACTCTTGGGAGAAGATGGCTCTGACAGTGGCAGTCAACGTCTCCAAGCCAATAACAGCGCAAATTACCCCGTTTGCGTCATATTGCTTTGAATGTCTTTGAGCGCCAGCAAGAGCTGAATAAGGGAACGATATCATCGCCAAAATCTCCCTCTCACTCAACGTCGCACATCTTCATTCCTCTTCTTCGCTTCTTCCCGCGAATGTTCGAACTCTCGGAGTCTCTTTTGCCAATGCGAAGCTGCGACATCAGTCAACATTGCCGGATGTTGTTCGTGCACGCACCAGCCCTGCACCTGAGGATCGTCGTGACTGAGAGAGCGCTTCTTCCTTGCGCCTGATGGTTGCTTCAAACATCTTTCGCCTGTTGGAAATCTCCTGCAAACCAACAAGATGAGAGGAGGGTCGATCAAAGACAAGGTCGTCAACCTGTCGCTTCAATGCTAACACTTCGAGGTGGGCACTGGACTCCATCTGCGATATTCCTCGTCAAGCTCCGCAATGGCTTCTGATGACACCAAACATGAGGGTGAAGAAATTCAGCTGATGACAAGGCACTGTCTAGTCTGCCTCACAACAAAAAATGTGCAAACCTCACAAGTGACAGCAAAGGGGAGGAATGGGGAGAGAAGGAGAGGAGAGAAGGAGCGAGAGTGAGTGTACACCTACGAAGAGGACACTTGCTCTGTTTCACCATTACATCCCGGTCATTTGTATCCTCCTCTCTTCCTCTCCTCCCAGTGCTCTCCCACTCCACCTCGTATTCCCCCCTCCTCCGGTGTCTTTGCTTCCCCGCCATTTCAAAGGTTCCCAAAGGTTTTTTTTACTCAACTTCGCAATATCACCGAACAGCGAAAATGCTGATGCAGTGGTAGACTCGGACAACCGTTGACTCAGCGAAAGGAGGAGGCGGAATGGGTAGGACAAGGTACGAGAAGAGAAGAGGAGGAAGGAAAGGGGAAGGGGCAAGCGGCATAAACATGTATAGTTGTACGATAGAACCTGCCAGGAAACGGACGTGTAAGATGGCATCCTGGGATGACGAGTGGTAGGAGAGCATTATAGATCCTTGTTTTTACATGAATAGCTGTACAACTCAAGCTTGAAGTGCTAACAAAGACATACAAGTGGCTCCGAGGACGACGCTGAGCAGCATTAGCCATCGCAGGGCCAAGTTCTCCCGCGAGTTGATGTCTGCTCTGTTGAAATCCTCTGAGAGAAATAAAGTAAGTGAAACCTGGAGCATGGAGTAGCACTGCAATACCAGCAATGAAATGAATAAAAGCTAAATATACAAGCACGCCCCCACTTATCGCATCCAAGGTTCCTGCAGTGAAGAGCCATCATTTCCTACCGAATCAAGAGCAACAACAACACAACAACAATAATACAAGAACACAACAGGAAACGCGACCACGAGTGGGTAAGACCAAAATCGAAGTCAGCATGGGGGCTCACCTTGAAGCCATGGTTGGAACAGGTTGTCGGCATGAAAGGACTCTGCTGCGATGCTGATCATACCCAAGGCGCCTCCCAGTGGGAATGTCAAGGAGAAGACGGCGACCATCATGACGACCTGGAGGGTCACGTGTGAGCAAGGCAACTACATGAAGGTAGTTGACAAGTCAAGTCCGCCACGCACCTTGCACCAGTTCACTTGAGAATCCTTATCATGCATCACGTTGGCGATACAAGATCCCAGCCCAAGGCCTTCGAAGAACTGATGGAAGCAAAGAGCTATCACGAGTCCAACAATCGCACTAGGTCTGTCTGTCTTTACGCCAAGATCCATTCCAATGATGACCGAGTGAACGACGATCCCCAGCTCTAGCATGCCCAGCATCACCTTCGGCTTGGCATCGTCCTGTGACAGGTCAGTGGAGCTCTCGACGTCTTGGACTGGTCCCAGCGGCAGTACACGATGCTGCATTTGTATTGCATGAGGTGAGATGATCGTATCCGCTGGATAATTCAACCCTAGTGAAGCTGGCGCAATGCCGTACGGATGTGCCTGGGGAAAATCTGCAGGAGAGTATGGAGGCTTAGCGCAATCAGAGGGTGTTGGATTTTGTGAAGACTCTTGGCTAACGACAGACACCCCATCTTCAGATTTTTTGCTGAAGAAGGATCCAAAATCCAAGGAGAGTCTCTCAACAATCATCATGGTCATAACACCCAGCATTACAAAAACTGAACCTATCGGAAAATTTCCAGTCAGACCATCCATGGTAGCTAGCGCATCGGCGATAATATGAACAAATGCTAAAGCAAGCATGACGCCAGCTGCATAGGATCTAAGAATGAAATACCAGAACGCCCCTGCTCGCGACTCTTTGGGGCTTTGATTCCGCCATCGAAGTATAGGGATCATTATTCCTATGACCGACGCAACGAGGACCGCAAAGAGCGCTCCAATCTTGAGGCTAACAAGCTTTTCTGGCATGATTTGAAACTTTTGTGGGTAATAAAGCTGATATCCGATGCAATCAAGACCTAATTTTCCGCAGAAATGTGCAAAAAGCGAGCACGAGTGTCCCTGGACGCCAGTAGGAGCAGGGGTGAACCCCCTCACCTACGAGACGATACAGAGGGCAGCGATGATTTGGTCCAACGAGATGCTACAAGGTGAGTAGATGTTCAACAGGAGCGGAACAAAACCAGAGAGGAGCAAGGGGTCTACGGGTTTGTCCTCAACACGTCCCCAGAAGCGTCTGCATGCCCATCGACCTTACCCAGCACCACCCCTCCCTACCGTTTCCCCTATGACCCCTCCTTGAATGACTACCACATACAGTACCCCTACTTTGAGCTGGTATTGATGGGGTAACTGCAAAGAAAGCTGGGTATGAAGGTACGATTGCATGCATAGGTGGGGTGGGTGAATATCTTCGTTTCGTAGGGGTCTGCTTGGGGATTGCAAGTCGAGGAAGGATAGAACAGAGCAGGGGTGGTGTCCGAGGTTAGAGACTAGGAGGTACTTTAACTGATATTTCGAGGGTAGGGGTGTGATATAATGGTCCATGGTTGATTTGGGTTTACCGGCATGGGGGTGGGAGAACAGGAGGGGTGGGTGGATTAAATCTAGGGTGGTAAAATTGTTTGTTCCGTGCAGAAAAGAATAACCTTGGTGGTTCTCCTATGGGAGGGCATCTGAAGGAGGGGTGGGTAGCCAGATCAACCGCTGCTCGGCTTTGTTGGATGAGTAAACTTTTCTATTAATAATTTAACTTAACTTTGAGTAAACAATCGTGATGTGAGGGTCAAGAAAGGCATGTCGCGCCCGGTGAAACGCAGGCCCGGTGGGCCGGAGGCCGGGGGTCCGGGGCCGGGCCAGTGCCTCCGGCGGCCGTCGGAGACATTTCACTAGAGAGTTTGACCTGCCGGGGCGGACTTGTTGTTTGTTACTGCTGCAGAAATGCACGTGCGGTCGTGGTTCAGGGAGGGAGGAGAGGAGGAGGAGTGAGGAGTGGAGGAAGAGCGAAGGGAGGGATGTGGTCACGAAAGCTGGCCTTGGATCGAAGACACGGAAAGATGAGGAAGAAGATTGCGGGATAGTGGAGGGGGAAGGAGGTTTAATGCGGGGGACCAGGGGAAATATTTGCGCGTAACTCGAAGGAGAGGTGGAGAGAAAGGAGAAATCATCCATCTAATGAAAGAGAGACGAGGGAATGGAATACATTTTGATCTCTGCCGTTGCTGCAGAAGAAGGGGGAAACTTATTACAGAGGGGGCAGGTCAAGAAACGAAGTTTCAATAATCTTACTAGAGAATTTTATGGCAGGGCAAGGGTGAACATGGCGATCTGATTTCAGGGGCCAGGAAGACAAAATGGTTGAAACTAGCAGAGAGAAGGTGAGAAACAAAGCAGCAAATCAAAATACTCCGAGCTCCACACCCAAGGCAAAAGGAGCAGTGAATTCAGCGCAGAAGAAGAAGTCGGCGAAGAAGATTGTCGATCACGACAAAGAGCATGTGAAAGAGACAGATCAGGCTGTTGACGCCTTTGCCGACGTCTCCCAACAACTGCGGGAGGAGGTGCTGACAGCTGAAGCGCCGGACCTGATCGCCATGCTCAGAGACTTTAAGAGCCAGATAGCAGAAGTACGGACGCAACTGTCTGCAGACACTGAGAGGGTCAAGGAAGGGGCGCTGCCGACTAGCAACGGAGTCTCGTACCTGGAGCTGAAGCTGCAGCTGCTGCTCAGCTACTGCACGAACCTGTCCTTCTACCTGTTCCTGAAGCTCAACGGGATGTCGATCATGAACCATCCTGTCATCAAGAAGCTCATCGAGCTGAGGATCTTCATGGAGAAGATGAGACCGATGGACACTAAGGTCTGACCCCTGACGAGACTCCTCGGCACTGAGCAGTCTTGCAGCTGAAATACCAGATGGACAAGCTGCTCAAGATCAACACTAACACGGAGTCGTCCACGGCGGAGCAGGAGAACGCGGTAAGGAGAAGGCAAGCATTGCCAAGTCGGGGTGACTCCTCTTCAGCTTCGATTCAAGCCGAACCCCGAGGCTCTGCTTGCACCCGGAGAGACAGCAGGGGCGCGAGAGGAGGGAGATGAAGAAGGTGCATGGGAGACGTGGGAAGCTGTTTGCTGATTGGTTGTGAAAGATGGAGAAGAGGGAGATAGAGATGCAGCTGACAAACAAGGGGTTTACCGACCCCCAAAGATTTCTGCCATGCACTTCGAAGACAAGTGAGCCCACTGATGATGACTTGTACAAGCTCATGGCAATTTGAAGGGAGGAGGCCAAGAAAAGGAGAGCGCATGAAAGAAAAGCTAAGAAGGCAGCCAAGGTGGGGAGCAGGAGTTTTCTTGACCCACTACTGACGTCAGACTGTAACAGAGTGAGATTGTCATGGCACTTCGGGAGCAGTTTGACGACGCTCCTGTTGAAATGTTACATGACTAGCTCTGCAAACTCGAGTCTGATGTTAGTCCAGGGAATCCATTGGAGCTTCCTCGCAGTACAAGGACGAAGAGCTTGCACACAGGTAAAAGCTGGGAAACAGCGGAGAGGAGAGGCTGACAGTCATGGCTAGAACCAAGTTTGAAGAAGACAATTTCCTCCGCCTTCAAGTGAGCAAGAAAGAACGTCATCGTCTGAAGCAGGTAAAAGCTTTTCATGGTTTGCTGTGCCCGCAGCCTGTTCAGCGGGGATGACTAGGAGACTGAGGGCCGTTGATCTGACTGTCTGCACGGCACCAAACAGATGAAGCGGAAGGGAGCTTCGATCGACGGATTTGAGGAGTATGACAACTTGACATTCGACAATGTCGCCAATCATCAAGATTTAAGCGAGCAAGAATCCAAGGCAAGGGGAAGTGCTGTAAGTAGACATATGATGACGAATGAAACAACAGATTCTCAAAAAACGATCTTTCGAAGACGTTGGGAGGCTCCCAGGAAACAAGAAATCCAAGAAGCGAGGTTTGAGCCATGTTCCTCCAAACGCGGTCTATTCTAACCAAAACACCCAAAGGAGCAAGATGATTGAGACGATTGAGAGACAAGAATCCGCTGTAAACAAATTGCATGTCCTTCTTTTGAGAGTAAACCCATCCAACGATGCTCTTTATTGCGATATTGAATGTTGTTGTGACCGCGTTACCTTGTTTTCTGCATGAAATCCTGTTGTTTGTGTGATAGTAGAGTCGGAACGAATAGCCAAGGGGCAAGAATTGGACACAAAAACAAATTCTTTCACATCTTAATCTATCATGTTACAGGCCTTCAAACTTGAAAGGCCAAAAAATACATCTTCAAGTACAATTTCCAGAGTGTTCTCCATGATGCAATCCTCAACGGCATCTAACCCTGGCTCCGGAGATTGTTTTTTCTTTCTTTCAGGAACTTGCCAATTTTCTCCGCGCTTTGATGAAGCATACTAACAATACATGTCAGTCCTTCAATAGGAAAAAGGTACGAAGACAACCTGTTCAACATGTCGAATTCTTTTCGCGACATTGTTACTTGATCCTCATTATCAATGCACTGCAGACTGTACAGATCATAATCAATCTCCCAATCAGTCATAGAAGATGCCAGGGCTGCACTCACGGTATTGTGTGGTTTGTACAGGAAGAGACATCGTTGGAAAGTTCAACATCCAGGTTCAAATCAGGTAAAATCTCTTGCTTGTGGATCTCAAAAACGTGGTTGTCTTTGCCGTTGGGCATTTCCTCTTCATGCTCCTCTACCTTGTAGTCCGCGCTCTGCAACAAATGCTGTGCTGAGCTTTTCCCCCACACCAGGGTGTCTTACCTTGGCTATGAAATCATTATTGTGCTGACTCTGATAGTCCTCAATCCTCGAGCCTCGTGAACCGTCTTGATTGCTCTCGTGCAGTGACTGAGCTCGTTCCTGGTCAGGAAGGAAACAATGAATGAGATCATGACATGTTCAAACATACATGACGACAGACCAGATCTACGTATCCCATGAACACCTGCTCCTCGCCCTGACATTCCTTGTAATCGTCTGACAACCAGAGTCAGGGCACAAGCAGCCTTTACAGCAATGATGAGCATCAACCTGCGCAGAATTGTTTGATCTTGTCGAAGATATCGTGATGCGTGTCGCATTTCAGAATGCAAGCCTCGACATCTTGAGCCCTCAATTGAAAGGTCTCGACAAAGTTCACAGCCCTTGCGATGACCCCGCTTTCCGTCTTTGAAAAATATTGTTCGTGTAACAATCGCTGAACAACCTGATGGAACAAATTAACAGCGAGATAGAGAGACAGGATTGCATGCGAACCGAGTGTATCATGGGCTTGAAGTTCAAGATGCCTCCAGCGTGAATGTTCTCGACTTTGTTCTCTCCCAGCTCATTACAAGTCACTGAAACCTGCCGATGCTCGTCAGCTCCTTCCCAGCCATATCTGAGTATGAACGAATATTACCGTCCCCGACTTGATCGAATACATGCTCGCTCCTGTCCCCTCAAAATCCGACAAGTCAAGCTCTTCATTCTTCAAGAAGATTGTGGATCCCATCTTCAGAGACAACTCCACCATGAAGTCTTCGTTCTCCCGGGAAATCTCTCTGAACAGTGAGATGTTAAAGAGGGTACTGCCGTGAACTGCGAGGATCATTTCCCTTCTCAGTTGCCCATTGACTTCTCGCAACAGAAACTCTTCATCGTAGACACTTCTGGACCATTGATTCATACACTGCTGTAGGATTGGAAATGCTACAGACTTGGGAACTGTTCTGATATTCAGATATTCCTGTAGATCTTTCAACTTGGTCTTGTATCGTATCTCACTCCCTTTCTGCGTACTCACGACAGCAGCTATATTGCCGACAACATACGCAAAGATACCACTTCCAATGACCATACTGCAAGTAGTGTAAATGAATTCTAAATAATTACAGGGAGTAATATCTCCATATCCGACAGAAGTTAGCGTCGTAAAAGCCCAGTACAAAGAATTGATATACAAAACCATCAAGGAAGGTTGCAATGCAGGGTCGAAACAAACCTGAGACCCCTGATATTGAGATGGAACTCTTTCTTCGTTGCAACAATTGAAATGAAACTTTGAGATCCACGAGTTCTGGATGTTTAAAGTAGCAACATAATAGAAGACACATGCTTGTACGTGAGCAACCAGCATCATCATAAAGATTAGTCGAAAGAGTCCCAGGACAGGTTCCAACATAGGGAATCGAAGTTGTATCGCTTCAATGATGTAGTTCAATTTTAAGAGCCGCAGGAGTTTGGTCAGACGCAAAATTCGGATTATTCTGAGATGATTCAGGACTGAGATATTTGAGCTTTGCTGGGATGTAGATAAGGAGCTGGCAATGCGTGAAATTATCTCAGAGGGAATTGATGAGACTGAGTCAATAACCAGCCAACTTCTGCAGTAATTCAAAGCAATCATAAATTTCGAGGTCACTTCACCACAATGGTCCTGATACGATGTGAAAAAGTTAGACACAACGTCTGTCACGAAAAACGCTTCGATCGCCATGTCGATGCAGCTGAAGACATTGGTTGAAGGAGGATTGAAGCACATGTCATAAGGGACAGAAAACGTGCAATAGAGGACAGCTAGGAGAGAGATGAAGTCCCAACAATGACGATATCTTCCAACACAAGAGATGTAGAGCCAATCGGGTTTTCCTGTTCGTGGCAGGTGCAGATGATACATGTCATCTGAGGGTCCTTGTCTGCTGACCAACAAGCGCCAAAAGAGAAGGAAATTTTCCCATTTAGTCCGCTGTAAATGTTATGAGTCACCTCGGCACAAGAATGCATGGACACAAACTATGTTACCTTCTTCTCGACCGTCTCCGTGAAAGATCGGCTCTGCAAAAATGAGAGGACATTACGTCTCTTCGGTCGACCATGTTTTGAATCTGACGTTCGCTTCACGTCGTCTAGAAGGTCATGTTGTCAATATCTTCATGACACAAAAAGAAGCAGCAACGCTCTTACGTGTCGATTCATTCCGGTTGACTCTGACACTTCTCCTTCTGTTGTTGATGTCTTTCGCTCTTGATAACCCATTGCGAGCTGAGTTGACAAGCATTCTAGAGAAATGAGATAGACAATATTCACAGCTGACAGCTTAGCAAATTGCAATCCTGCATCAAACCCCAGAAATCATTGGGGAGGATAGCAGAGACCGGGACCTAGGTCAGGGGTTCGAAGAAATGATATCAGCCCAAGGAGGGTGTCGAGGGGATCTCAACTCCTTGCGATGACGAGAGATGTCCATGAACGCATGTTCACAGAGTTCTGACTCCTCCTTCTCACTCTCTCATCTCCTCCTCTGCCTCTTCTTTGCACCCATCGCTGCCCGAGCCAAGAATCTGCATAGCGACGGACGACTTCTCCCGCACTCCCCGGCAACGGCACTACCCCCTACCCCCACCCCTATTGATGTGTCCGAGGCTGTCTTGTGTGTTTCCCCATCTGTCCATGCCCGTGTACCCCTACCCCCTCATTCCCCTTCTTCGATGGGCACACCACCCATCACTAGCTCACCTTACCACCACCCCCACCCCTGCCTGTTAGAGCTTATAAAAAGCCTTTTGGTTCGGTTACTAGATATATAAAAGCTTCAATTCAGTACGAAATAATAAGTGCTGGTACAAAATGACATAGGTATTTGACCAGGCCCTCTTGATCGTATCATAGCACTACATTACTACCGTTGTGAAATTAAAATATATTATTGTCTATAAAATGGCTGACGGAATAAAACTTATTGGGTCAGTCACGGTAGGGTAGGACTGTCTTGGTACACTTTACTCAAAGTTAAGTCTTGGTACAGTTCGCTTGACTTATGAGCGATACCGTTGTCAGAATGATCGGACTTCCCACTGGCCCAGGCTTTCAGTTCGGAACTCCGAACCGTCGCGGCCGGGCGGGCCGCCCCCGGGCCGGGCTGCCGCTCGGACTGCGGGTCTCCAGTCACGAGTCACGAGTCGCGGCCGGACTCGGCGGACGGACTCCGGTTTAACAGAGTGACAAGTTTGTTAGACTTGTACTATGCCAAAGCAATGCAGACATCATCTCGACCTCAGATGGAACAAGATCGGACCATGGTCAAACCCGGGGGCGAGTTTGCCGCACGCACCCCGGAGGCCGCTGGAGACCGCGGCCGGGTGACGCAAGCTTGGCCCTCTAGGGCCCTCGCGATGGTAAACAGCCCCCCCGCCCCCGGGCCCCGCTGTCGCCGCCCGGCTCAACCGCCGCGCCGCCCGGCCCCGCCTCCCGGGGGCGCCGTTTTAAGTAGCGCCGGCCCAGGCGTCCGCCGAATCCCGGAGTCCAACCGGCGGCGGACCCTGGCAAAGCCTGATCTGTACGGTCCGACACACTGTACTGCCGTATCTGAAGACTCCACTGTGGCATGATCAGACCGTGGCACTCACACGGATCACGGGTACGGTACTACCCGGCCCGGGGACGCAGCCGCCGACGCAGTGATCCGGGAGTCCCGGGACCCGGCCCCCGTGACCCCGGCCCGCCGGGCCCGGAGACTCGGAGTCTCTTAGTCTGCAGACTGAGTCTCTCTCAGTGCCTCGGCCATGACAGGCCCGCCTCTGGATGTAATACACGACTGGACGTTGCGTCTGGCCGATGCAGGTGGCGTCTCCTTGTAGCGCAAAAGCATGCAGATAGCGGGCTCCTGTCCCTCCCCATCGATGCCTTTGACTTGTCCCTGTTCTCAGTGATCTTCCAGATCCTGCTCGCAGCATGGAAGCGTCTGCTACATGTCCTGCCATTGTAGGTATGGAAGAAACTTGCGCCAGGAGCAATAGCTGCGACAACGGGACGAGAGGAATTGCATATCAGAGCCATTTCGTGACAAGACGAACCTGATTCTCAATCTTTAGCAGCTGTGGCGTACAAATGAAGCGAACTACCAACGGCGCAGCGGTGTTGAGCTATGTCGTCTTCCATGCATTGATCGGCGAGCATAGTGGATTCATTTGCGTGTATCCTCAGTGTTTACCGAAGGGCAACCTTCATGATGAATACACTTTCTTGTGCAGCTTCAATCCAAGAGCAGGACTAGTCAAGGCAGGAAGACATCCGTGCAGATCGTGGACGGTCAGTGACGGGACGATACGATGCAGAACAACTAGAAGTGCACTCGAGGAGAGCAACTCGTCTCTGAGCTCTCCGTCTTACGTGGAAGACAGCCAACACATCCCCTTGCTAAAGGAAAAGCCCTCAAGAGCCAATTTTGCCACGGGAGACGAAAGCCCGAGAAACAGGCGAGGAAGCTCTGGGAAACAGGCAAGGCTTTCATCCTTCAATATCATTCTGACCAGTTTGATTGACTTTTTGATGTGTGATGTACGGCACTTTTGGTATCAGAAGAGGGACGTGAGGAAGTTGAAGACAGATGCAACGACTCTGATGGGCTCGCAAGACCCAGGGCGAGCGATGGGAGGAGAACGATTGATAGGTTCACATCAAAGTGAAAGGTTTAGCTGTGATGTTTGTTTTCCTTCAGAAACAATCGACTTTCTGGGTGTTTTCTCTGAGAGCTTCAAGAAGATCAACGCTGATGCTGTAGAAGCGGCTGGAAATATCTCCGGGGGTAGTTGACGTTTGTTTTTTTCATGGACCTTCTGATCTCGGCTCTTTCCGCTCAGCCGGAAACAAATCACAGGAAACAAGCATTATACCGAAGCTTGATAGTGATGTGATCAAGAAGATAGACTTCCTTGGTGTCCTTAATGCAGAGATGGTGAGCAAAAGTAGATGTGGCGATGCTGTTTCAACCGACAAGTTTCTCAGGCTATGGAGAATTTCGACGACGCCAGCGCATTCGATGAAGGTCAATCAGACTGTCTCTTGCATCAGGGCTGTGACATTTTGATTCAACGCAAGACCTTGAATCCATGGCCTTTCTCGAGAGTTGGAACGAATTGAAGGAGTCGACGTATCCATCGGAGAACAGAACATCGTCGGCAAGAAACCCCCTAGTCTGTTGTGCTCAAACTCATCTCGAACTTCAACAGGTCCCTTTGATGCGGTACAAGACTAGTCAGAAGTCGTTGAACATTGTCGACCTGCTCAAGTCCAACGAGGAGATGATGAAGAAAGCAGGAGGAAGCGCCCTTGGCAGCGAGATTCTGCTCAACACACTCGCGAAGTTCCGTCCTTCGGTACTCTATGTCCATTCCTCTTCTAGTCGCGACCATTCATGACTATACTGAGATAATGATCACGATGATGAGCTTGTGGTTGCATTGGAATAGGAGGAGGAGGAGGAGGAGGAGGAGGAGGAGGAGGAGGAGGAGGAGGAGGAGGAGGAGGAGGAGGAGGAGATAATGGTGACGATGACCATGACAATGACTGTGACGAAGACGATGATGTTAGAGATGATGATGGAGTTAATCACAGAGATATCATAATATATGCAAACAAACAAAAACCATCTGATTGATTTTCACAGTTTGGATTGCCTGACATGAAGGATTCTAAATCAACGCCAAGAATCATCTCCATTCCAGGAAACCTGTTGCAATACAACGATGCAGAGAAGCTGATAGATGTCCTTGTAAGACACTTTGAGCATTGCCTAAAACTATAGAAATTATGGGGAAGGCGTCGAGGGGAGAAGATCAAGGAGGATAATGAGAAGGGGAAATAGTTGACAATTTGATACAGGATGAATTCGCTTCTACAGCAAAAACATTGGTAGAGTCCGCATTGAAAGAGGGAGGACGGAAGAAAAGAAAACAAATGGACCTGCTGCGGAGTTGGCAACAGGAGATGTAGTGACAGTCCTCAACCAGTTGAAGAGGGTTAAGAACTCGATCGTGAGCACGACGGTTGCTCGAGCCCTCTCGTATCTTGACTGCTGACCCTGTGGAGCAGGTGAGGGAGCGCTACGAGGAAATGATGGACTTGCTGTTTGAGGTCCAACAACCAGATCACTTTCGACTTCCGGCCGCTCTCCTGATTCGTTTCCTCCAGTATGTAACGCTGAAGATTGATGACCTCTCTCCGAAGCAAGTTGCTATCGTGTTGAATGCTGCGGTGATGAGAGCGAGTGACAGGGAGAGTGGGAGGGAGTGCTTGTGATCGTTTGATCAATTCAGATTGGATGCAAGCCGAGCAAGCAGCTGTTTCGAGCGGCTTCGGGTCGAGTTGTGAAGATGCACGACGATCCCGTCAGGTGCCTCTCTTGTCCCTTTTTGCTTCAAGCCTGCTCCCCTCTCTTCCCCTTCTCCTCCTACGCATGTCTGATATCTTCTCCTCCCTCGACTTCTTCTCTCTTTCTCCTTCCTCCTCTGTCGATTCCTCTCACTTCCTTGTATAGAAATTTTGTTTTCACCGAGCAGAGCATCGCCATGATCCTCAACGCATTCACAAGGTTCTTGACGATGCTAGTTCACATCTCTCAACCCCCGACAGAGCTCGACGGTCTGACCTCCACAGACGAGCCATCCAATGCCTTATCACCGTCATCATGAATGGCCGCAAGAGGAACGACAAGTGGAAGCAAAACTCTGCCTCCTCTTCCTCCTCTTCCTCCTCCTCAAGGCCCCGCAGACTAGGTTCGTCAGGGTCGCCTCGCTCCTCCGGCGGCGGTCGCATCGGAAGCATGGGGCAGAGGAGCTCGTTCGAGGTCTTCACTCCCCTCCAGACCCCTGCCAGGACCCAGAGCGCCAACGGGCATGGATGGTCAGCGCAGAACCTCGGGATAGCGATGAACGCGATCTCGAAGCTCTACCACACCATCACGACAGCGAGGGTTGAAGCAGGGGATAATGAGGGAGAGGAAGGCGAGGGTACAGGGAGGAAAAAGGATGACGATGAAGTGGAGGATGATGGGGCAGTTGAAGTTATTGGATTCACTTTATCCGATATTCTTCTCTTCTTAGCGAGGAAAGCAGCGTACCTTCCGCCTTCTACCTTCAACTCCAAGGTAGGCCAACGGACCTTTGAGTTGATCTTCCCCCTTATTTCTGATACCCCTCTCTTCTCCCTCCAACCTCCCTGCCTCTCCTTTCCTCCTTTCGTGTCTCTCTCCCTCCTCCTCCCTCGCACTCCCCTCTCCTCTGTTCCATTATCAACACCTTTCAACTTTCTTCTCTCCCTTTGTATCATGGCAGGCGATTGCAAGCATCTCCAACGCCTGTGCCCGGGGGAGGCTGCAATACCCAAGGTAAGACAAACACAGAGAAAGAGTAGGACAGACCAAGCTAGGAAGATAGTTAGAGGAGAAGATGTGAGGATGTGTTAGAAGATGTGAGGATGTGTTTGGACATCGCTGACGAGGATGTCACTCAGAGTCTTCGAGACACTAGCTGCTGCCGTTGAGATGCTTCCGACTAGCATGTGGAACTCTCAGGTCTTTCTCCTCCCCTTCCTGACAGCCCATGTTACCTCCCACTCCTCATCTGCTCTCCTGCCTCCTGCCTCTCGTTCTTCATCCCTCTTCCCTCGGACTGATTGACTGACGACCTTGCAGGAGATCTCGATGCTTGCCAACGCCATGGTTCGCTGCGGGTACTACAACGAGACTGTCATCGAACAGATCGGCCGCGTCGTCTGCAGCCTAGAAGGCAGCTCCTTCAAGCCACAAGGCATCGCCATGGTCACTAACGCGCTGTCCAAGTGGGAGGGAGGAGGAGAGGCGTCAGCAGGGAGCATCAGGATACCCAGGAGTGTGTGGGAGCACCTCTCCTTCACTGCCTTGTCTCTCACGTCAACACAAGAGTGGTCGACTCAGTCCCTCGCTCTTGTGCTCAACGCCTTCAGCTACGAGGGGATGGTGAGCAGGGAAATGCATGAGAGGAGGGGGGCGAGTGCCGCCGATCTCCTCCGCTTTCTCATCACCATGGCTCCTAGCAAGGAAAAGAACATGTGGGAGCCGCAGGTAGTCCACGAGAGGGAGAGAAGCAGAGGAGCTGACGGATGGCGAAGGAGACGGCAATGGTGCTAAACGGGCTGGCACGGTGTGAGAGCACAGTAGGGGATGTGAGAGACACGATGGGTCGGGATGCGAGGCCCTGATGGTTTGACAGGTGTCAAGAGCAGCAGCTTACATGAAAGATGTCTGCCTACTTCACTCACCAGGTCTCCTGTCTCACTTTTGCGGCAACCTTAGCTGAAGGTGGGATGCGCAGATCAGCTTGATATGATCAGCATCTCCAACATTGCCAATGCGATGGCTAAGTTGAGGTCTGAATTGATTGTGTTTGCCTGTATGTTGACATCGTCTTCATGGGATTGCTGTTGCTGATCACAGGATGAGAGATGTGAAATTAATGAGCTTCCTGGCTCAAGCTGCTGTTATAAAAGATCCTTCCGTCTTCTCAACTCAGGTGCGGTGTCACAGCCATTTCGATCAGCAAACCAGATGAGAATCATGTTCATTCTTCAATCAGCCTTAAACTGCTTTCCCTTGCAAATCAATTGCGTGTTGTGGAGTAGTCGACCTGGTGGGCTCACTAGGCTTACGACGTTTATCGCAGGCCATCTCGAACATCTACAACGCATTTGCTCGACTAAACGTGTTCAATCAAAAGCTCTGCTCCCATCTCTCTCTAGCCGCCCTGCTCATCCATCCCTCATCTTTCGCCCCTCAGGTGATCTTCTTGCGCTGAGTTCTCCCTACAAGTCAACCTTCCTCTCTGACACTTCCCTTTCTTCTCGATCTCCTCCGACTTTTCCTCCTCTTTCCTGCTTTTCCCCTTGTTATCTTCCGAGCTCGTCCACTGATTGTATCTCAAACATCTTGCTCGTCTCCATATCAGATGTCTTCCAGTTTTTCTTGATGTGTTTCTGACAACAAGAGACAGAACGTGGGGATCATTGTAAATGCTAACGCAAACTTTGCTCTCTTGGACTTTGCCCTGGTTGATTTCTTTCTTCTCTCAAACTTCCTCTAACGATCGTGCAGATCCGGCATATGGCGCATGCGATGATCATCAACATCGACGATGCCGACGAGCAAGCCGTCTCCAACTTTATCCACTCCCTTGCCACTTTGGACATCAAGGTCTTCTTTCATGATCGCCATCACCATCATCATAGGCTTCTCCTCATCCTCCTTCTCATCCATCATCGTCTCCATCATTACTTTTATCTCCATCATCACCATGATCATCATCATCACCACCACCACTACCACCATCATCATCATCATCATCATCATCATCATGGTATGTTGCTGCTTCTAGCACTTGTACGACACGTCTGCCTCTTCCCTGTTCCTCAATCGTCTTGGCTTCTAAGCGCTTTCAATCTTCTTGGCTTCTAAGCGCTTTCAATCTTCTTGTCTTCTAAGCGCTTTCATGTCTCAGATGCAGCTGGTGCAAGATGTCTTGTTCTCCTGGATTTCTCAACAGCCGCCGAGAAGATTTGCTCCCCAGGTCTCGCTCAGCCCCGTCCTTGGGTTGCTCCTCACCTTCTCCTCAGGCTCTAGCGAACATCGCGTGGAGCATGGCGATCTTGAACTGCACTGACGAGGCTCTCTTGCTTTGGGTAGAGGAAGGTAGCGCTCATACCGCAGGAGTGGCTTCACCCTCCTGAATTCTCCTCGCAGCCCTGGCGAACACCGTGAATGACATGGAGCTCTTGCACCTGCGACAGGAAGATCGAGGAGGGAGGAGCTGTAGTCTGACTGCTCCAGCAGGTTCATCAATTCATCACTTGGAAGGCTCTGCAGCTTCCCAGATGGGCGAGTGATGAGGCGCGAGCTTTGACGAGTGAACGATCGGCGGCCGTTCGGTGGGACGGAAGTGAGGACAGTGATTGGAAGCAGTTTGTGAAGAGACGAGTGTTAAGAGACAACCCATCCACTTCTAGCTCGAACCTTCAGGTATCCTAGCCGTCTTTCTCCCTGATTTCCTTCCCTTCTCGCTCGTCTGCCTTCTCTGTGTCCCCCCTGGTCCCCTCTGTGTCTTTTCTCAGTCCTCGCTTGCTTTCTCTCTCATTCACAACATTAACAACTTCCGTAGAATTCTGTTGCGCTCGCTATCGCTGCACTTGATCTGGAGATGATCGAAGAAATGAAAGACACCGTCTCAGGTGCAACAAGGAACAACTTTACTTCTCTCAACCTCACTGCCCTTGTCGTTGCCTGGCTGCCTCCTCAACCTCAGTTTCATCTGCACGTCTCGTTTTCTCTCGTCCTTGCTCTCGCTTATCTCCTGCTCAACTCTTCTTCCTCTTCCCCTCTCCTCTCTCTCGTAAACTCCGTTCATCCTATACACCTCTCAGACTCTCTGTTGCAGGATACAGACTGGACATCTTCCTTCCCGCACAACAAAAGGTTTCATTCTCACACTCTTACCTCTCATTCTTTCCTCTCCTTCATTCCCTGCTTGTTCTGTATCCTCTGCCCTGTCTGAGCCTACTTGCCCTTCCCGCCGATCCTCCTCCCACCCATTACGTTAAGCAGGTCGTTGAGGTCGATGGCCCTCGCCATTTTGCTTTCGAGACCAGAAGGCCGTTGGGTGAGTACGAGGAAATTTTCTCCTCCCCTTCTGTTAAGATACACTTTCAGGTCCCACAGTGCTAAAGCGGAGGATCCTGGAGCTGCTCAGATACAAGCCAGTTACAATTCCTTACTGGTGAGTAGGGAGCTCCTGGGGGCAGCGTGACCAGTGGGAGCTGAGAAGGAGACTGCAGGGAGTGGGACGAGCGAGGAGGAGGAGCAGGGGGTGGAGGCTTCACACGCGAGCAGCTGGAGTACCTGCGGTCAAAGATCTTCGACCATACCATGGGAGATGCTGTGGCGGCAGACCGTCGCTAGAGTTTTGCCAGCGAATAAAAGAATGATAATATGGGTGACGGGGTTCAACTCAGTTTCGGAGTCAGGCTCAAGGATGACAGTGCAGACCATCATCGTATGGGCTGCCTGAGAAGTCGCCTTGGGAGCGAGTGACTGTCACTGTAGTCATGGCCCCGTTGCTTCTCGGGCATTGACACGACCCCACCCTGCGATGTGTTGTGAGGTAGATTCGATGATTTGTACTCACTGGCAGTACCAACTGACCTCAGAGATGCTGATTCCTTCTCCTTCCTTCCGGGTGTGTGTGTTGAATATGCCTTGCTCCTCGGATATCCTCCACCTTCAAAATCTTTTCAGCTCCGAGTGGCCAGCGACCACCATCATGGACGCTGGCTCAGCAGAAGGCAAGGCTCTTTTGGGAACTACGGCTCTTCGAAGTACTTAGAAAGGGAGTTCAGAGGAGGCGGCAGCAGATACGGGGCCGACCATAACATCTTTGGCTACTTTGGCGTGACTGACGACACCTCTGACATGGAAGCCCAAATCGCATCAAGATGGTGGGAAACTCCTTTGACCATGTTGCATGAATGCTCTCCAGCACATCGATGACCAGCTCCATCTGGGAGGTGAAGCAGTAAAAGCGAGGCCTCAGGGTTCCTCTGATCAATCTCCAAGTCGAGTTTGTAGTGAAGCTTCTGTTGAACCTAAAACAAGCAACCGCCCCTTGCATGATGCTCGTACTGCTCCAGAGTCCTGCCTGGATGGCCTCAAACTTGAAAATCGTTCCCAAGGCGACGCTTCGAGTGGCTGGCGACTTCTCAGGCAGCCCATACGATGATGATCTGCACTGCCAGGCCCTGCGACTCAGCTCTCAAGATCTTATGGTTGAGCTGCGCGTGCTGGTCCTGCACAAGGTCGCTGAGGCTTCAACTTGACCCGAGAGCGCTCACGCTGAGCAGCCGCGCGTACAGGGCCACTGTTACGGTGTCACCTTATGTTCAGCCAACTGCATCATACTCTTAGCGGCTTCCGCGTGAACCGTTAGCGTGCCAATATCGACAGGACAAGATATATTCGTTGAATATAGACTGAGGATATTCATTGTAGTTTTAGGGCACAGGATGCAAGTAAGGGGGTCTACAAGTAAGAGAAAGAAAGGAGCTTGACTACTCTGTCTAGCTCGTCTCCAAGCTCGGAAATTGTGGTGACTTCTACCTGGCAGAAATGATCGCGCTTGCTCCCAAGGCTCCAAAGTTTCTGCTGATCGGACGGCAGAATGTCGATAACAAAGTTTCGCATTAGATGACATTCGCTAGCTTGGCTTATCTGCAATTTCACCTCTCCCTGATCGGGCTGCCATCTGCTCTCCGGCCAAAGGTCAGAATATTTTCTGTTACATCCCGCTCTTACCTTCCAATCTCGATCATGTACGAGAGAGCAAAATTGGAATCCGGAAAGAAGTCAGGAGAAGATCTTGTATTCAGCAGCACCTCACTGGCTCCTTTTATGTCAGTCCACCGTTGTATCACCGCCAGCGGCAAGATAGCCTCCCAGGCCATGTAAGAATGAACTTTAGATGCTTCTATCCTTGCTGTCCATGCGATTTCCAAACCGCGCAAATCTTCGACTGAGAGGTCGCAGGCGATCAAGTTAGCATTGTGAGGTCGCGTGACAGTCTTCCGTCTGTGTGCGTCAGGGTCAACATGATCCTCTACAGCAGAGCATGCTGAACGATGAACTTCGCGCGGTCTTGTCCAGGAATTTGAGCCCCAATGCTGATCTTGGTAGAACACGGGGGGAATGGTAAGGTATGCCCGCAGTTCAGATCGCAAGATCAGATCCTGAATCGCGACGAGAGCGTCACTTTAGCATGCTCACAGCAATGCAGCAGACTCTCACCCCGTACATGATGTCTATCGCGTCAGAAGCTGAGGAGCAGATAAGACGCTCTGCTCGGACGATCCCAGTCTCAGTGAAGATGATTGATCCCGAACATTTGGGACTGAATCCGCGAGCCAGCCTCTGCCTCTCGGTCCAGTATCGCAGCAGCGAACAAGTCTCTCCGCAGAACTCAAGGTACAAAAGATCAGCATCTTCGGGCAATGCAAGCAGAGCTTCTTTGATTCGAGATGAAGCATGTTCTATAGATCCTGGAAGTATCAAATCGTCTTCAAAAATCCCAATCATGGTACCTTTTCCTCGCATCCTCTGTAAGATTCTACAGTGATCTCGAACTCCCGCTATTCTATACCTGGCTACCTCCTCCCCACTCATCGCAACCTTCAACAGTTCTCCACTCAGACGCCCGTTCGCAACCTCATCGCTCAAAGAAATGTCCTCTGCTAGTGTCAAATTGAAAAATTCCACCCTCTCGAATCCCAAGGAGGACAGGAGAGCTTCTGTGTGCATCCTTCTGTCTTGTCTCGCTGGTATGTTGATCACAAACACAGGGAATCGAAACTCGGGCAGAGCATAGGTGATGTTGTCCCTCCTGAACTCGTTCAAACATACGTCGAATCTTCCTCCATCGAGGTGGTTCAACCTGCAACTTTCCCGCACGGATGCTGCCAGTCCTGCCCAGAACCATTGATTCCATCGCTGCTGGTTAATTTCCCATATCTGTTCTCCACCGCCATCGACCGCAATAAATCTTCCTGTCCCCTCTGATACTTGCCCTGCTTCTCCTGCTTTTTCTGCTCCTCCTGCTCCTCCCGCGGCAAGCGCGGCAAGCAACCACACCACCTTACTCGCCTGCATCTTGGGGGATTTGCCCGACACAACCCCTCATACCGCACACCATACCCGGTCAGTTCACCCAGCTGCTGCAGTTCACCGGCCAGTTACCTTGGGCCCGCCGAGTCAGTTGGTATCATGGAACCGCATGAAACTATAGTACTGTCCAACAATGTTTGTACCAGGCAATCTATCTTATAACGACTTATAGATGAATATTTGTAGTTGAATTCTTCAAAAAGATACTAAATTCATGAAGTTAAATTAATTGTATGATTTTACATATATTTTAAAAGGAATGGATCGGCTGGTACCACACGAGGGCACAGGGGCAACCCCAACCCCCATGAAATCAACAGTACCCAGGTAAAATATCCACCCCACCTACTCGCTCAGTTTGATTGTACTCCCCCACCTAAAACCATTGACGAACAGAGATAAAGTAAGGGGTGCACTGACAACCCACCCCACATAGGCTCCACCCACAAACAAGTACCCACCCACAACCACTTGATCATTCTACATCCTGCAGTGGCCCGCACCCCCTACCCTCCCTCAGATCCTTGCGTCCCCCCCCCCAATGCAGCATCAGGCGTTTCGCACTTGAGGCTCTCTCCTCATTCCGCTCGCTCTCATTCCGCTCCCTGCACACAGAGTCCCTTCAGTCTGGAATTGATCAGCCGCATGTTCTGTTTCCTCCCCATATCATCGATTTCATTTCCAAACTCTTCTTGTTTCATCACCCCTGATGTTGAAGTATGGGTGTATGATACTCAAGATACCTTGAGATGTGTTCGTGGATATTGATTGATTTGAATCTTGTGAGCAAAATTAAGTTTTTGAGCAAATATAGATATTCAGTGGTTTTCTACATGAGAAAGCGGTGTACAATCAGGGCTCTAAACATATTTGAGCATCATGGACTTAAGGATTCCCTGCTTGCTGTTTTGTGCCCAGGGCTAAAAATGATTTACATGGAGCTTGACTTCGTCCACATCTAGTTTCTCTGTTTTATCTTTTGATTTAAATGATCTATTTGTTTTCAGGGGTAATGGGGAACTGATTGTTTTATTCAAATACAACTCTGTCGACGTTGCAAGAACATTGTACAGATGATTCCTAAAGTGATCTTCGTTTTATCACTGTACCGTTCTGCGTATGCATTTTGCCCTCCAAATGTGATGGGCTCAAATATTCAGCGACTTAAACTAGGCACACCTTCAACACCTCTCTGTTACCGCCGTACCAGACCGCGGATAGGAATGTCGGACGGGACTCGTTTAGTGCCTTCACTGAACAACTCGTTGGTAGAAGTGGGGTGCGACAATGCTAAGAAGGATTTTCTTGTTTATGAACATATGCTTGGAGTCATCTCCAACCATGCAGCGAGCTCCGGCAAACTTGGATCAATCACGCTTGTGGGCGCAGGACCGGGTGATCCTGACTTGCTTACTCTTGGAGCGTTGAAAGCGATACACGCGGCAGACCTTGTGATTGCAGATAGACTTGTCTCAAAAGAAATTCTAGCGCTGATCAAGTCTGAGTTGAAGATTGCCCAGAAGTATCCAGGATGTGCACATGACGCACAGAATGAGATTTATCGCTGGTGTGCAGAGGGTTTGGTAGAGGGCAAGAAGATTGTTAGATTAAAGATAGGTGATCCTTTTGTATTTGGACGTGGTAAGCCAAAATTCTTTACTGCTTTTGATTTTACTGACTTCAATCCAGGAGGTGAAGAAGTTTTGGAGCTCAGGAAGTTTGGTGTTGAAGCCAAAGTTATCCCAGGAATTTCCTCGGCTCTTGCAGGACCTCTCGCAGCTGGAATACCAGTCACTCACAGAGGTGTTGCTAACCGTGTCGTATTTTGCACTGGTATGGGAAAGGAAGAGAGCATTCCAGATATACCAGCATACCATCCTGAACAAGTAAGAATATGGGCAGGATATACAAAGGATTGTATCTGACGTGATGGCCAGACGTGCGTTTTCTTGATGGCTGTCGGTAGACTGAAAGCTCTCACTGATGACTTGACAAAAGGAGGATATCCTTCGACAACGGTGATTGAAATGATGCGAACAAATTCTTGCGCTGATTGCCAGCAGCCCGTTGGAATCATCGAAAGGGCGACAACTCCGCATGAGCGCACCATCCGAGGGACTATCGAAGGTATCAATCGCTCCTGATTCATAGTTGTCCTCTGGTTGGACGGCCTCACTGATTGTACTGATTCAGACATTGTCATCTTAGCATCAGAAGAGAAGATCAGGCCACCTTCTGGTACAAAAGAAAGAGTCGTGGCATCGACATAACCTGATTGCAGTTATCGTTGTTGGAGAGGCTGTCAATGTACTCAGCAAACAGGAGAAACATCATCAAACCATTATTCCTTTCAGACGTAGCGCCATGTCGTTGGAGTCCTTGTCGAAAGCTTGCGAACCATCGGGAGAAGGGAGCGAAAGTTGAAATCAAAGTTACTTCAAAGTTATGAATTTATTCACAAGAAAAAAATAAGACTGTTCGAAAGCATGCTTCTGTCTTGTCGACAGTTATCTATTCTATACTACATTCAATGAGGAGATTTTGGAACTACCGCTCATGAAAAAATGTCCATAGAAAGTGCGCGGTTGTAATCCGACCTACGATATCTTTTCGGTGGAGTAGTCTCCACATATTCCCATTCTCCATCAGATCCCAAGGAAGATTGAATTCTTCGATTGGTGCTTTCCTTGGAAGTCAAAGAGATACGGGGAAAGTCGCAGATTTCCCTCGATCGCTTCTCGTTCATGCATTCTTTAAGACCACCGCTGATGATTTCAGAGTCCGCAAAAGAATCCAGCCCACATGACATAAACGGATATGAGGACGACTCATGCCCCTTGTTACACCTCTTCCTCGAGCAACCCTTGTTGTCGTCTCCAGCGTCTAGCCTCATACTTTTCACCAGCAGTGAGACAGATTGCTCGACATGATAAGAAACCGAGGAACCACCGCTGGAGCGCACACGGAGAGGCGGAATGCAGGAAGACGACGAAAGGAGGAAGGGGGAGGAGGAGGAGGAGGAGGAGGAGGAGGGCGCCGAAGGTACACGTTGCATGGTTGCGAGCATCGCGAGTTACACGGAGGTCGTGTGCAGCCTATTTTATATTGCCTGCCGGCGAGAGGTCGCGCGGGAATAATGTAGGTAGGGGTACACCAATTTTTTGTAGGGGTGGTCGTAAAGATTTTTTAAGGTATACACTTGACAAGGGTAAGGTAGAAATTTCATCAATTGAGATGCTAGTAAAACTCAGGTAAGCACAGACGTATGAGTTCATAGAGACAGATATGACCGTTGGTGGTACATGGGGTAAGTGTTCAGATTGGTCAGCATGAATCGGGGGTAGTGGTACATAGAATACATAGAAACCTGGAAGGAGACTCTACAACAGCGGGTGGGGGTAGTCTAGGATGTTGCCGAAAAGAGGAGGTGAAGATGTTCCCTAATTTTACTCTTGTACATCAAAGGAAAAAGAAGACCATAGGGTCAAAGGATACATAAAACAAAGCCGTGACCTAGCAAAAGGTCGGAGCCAAATGGGGGTGGGTACTTGAGCGATGACTTCTTTTACTACATGACAGCAGGCAGCATTGATCCTAAAGCAACTGTTTCGAAACTTCTCTAACAGAAAAATACAACTTTTGAAATCTAGTAATGCGGAGAAGCGATGAAGCGTTGGGATCTGGTGTCAGTAGATATGTTTTATACTTTTAGCTGACTTCAGCTCTCAATTTGCTCGTATCTGAATCGAGTACCCCAATCATCTCTATCGAAAAACAGGGTAGGGGGTGTCTGAGGATCGGAGATCCGGGACCGTCTCACACAGGTAGTAAAGATAATTGGGGAAGTCTGTCTTTCCTAAAGACTGATCACGGAATTGGCATGGCAAATGCATGGCTGTGTTTTAACTTAACTTAACTTTGAGTAAAGTCATGGCTGTACAACTCTTATTTTTTTGCCGTGACCGCCAATACTGACCCTGATCGGACCGGACCGGCCCGGCCCGGCACCCGGATCGGATGGTTCCGAAGGGCCGGGCCGTCGGACGGTCACAACGTGACGGTTGAGCGACCCGCCGGTTTGAGTAAAGAAAGCCGGTGATCGCTGGGCCCGACCGCACGGCGGGTCAACTTACTTGAAACCATCGGGCCGCCCGGCGGCCCGGGCCGGGCCCCGGCCGCCCGGCGGAGAGCCTTTCAAGTTTCTCGCCGGACTCGAAGTAGGGTTTAGTACGGTAGTGTACAGTGACCGTACCTGTACACCCGGCGTCGGCGATGATTTAATGATTGCTTGCCAGTGACAGTGAACTGCAAGTGAGTCCCGGCGAGTCCGTTGGACTCCCGGCGGGAATCGGAACTTCCGAACTGAAGGTACGGTCCCCGCCGGACTCCGGGAGTCCGGCGGAACTTGCCCGGGCACGGCCACTCACAGAGTCAGGCGGCGCGGCAGCGGTCGGACTCCGGCCGCGCGGCAGCCAGGCCCTACCGTAGTACGGTTGCCACCCCGACCGTGCTTCCCGTACAGTAACTTAACATCTGACGGTCCGACACCGGAAGCCTTACGGCCCGTTTCACTTCAAGTATCCGAGTCCGCGGCCGTCCGCGGGCCGAGGTGGCCAACTTTCTGCCTCGGAGCCTGCTCAGGGCGGCGTCAGAGCCTGTCACTCAGTCCTTTGTCACAGTTTGGACTCTCATCATTCATCAGCGGGTGCGTTCCGAAGCCTCAAGTTCCAGTTCGTTATGCGTCTCACTGCTTCTGCCACCGGCGGCCGCCAATCATTGGCTGCTAGCAGTGCAACTGTTCAGGAAGTTCCGAAATTCCGGAACTTTTCGGAAGAGGGTTGGTTCTCTCTGTCACAAGTGCTGTCTCTCATCCCGTCTCGGTGAGTTGATATCATGTTGAACTGATCATATGACACGGTGGACCTGTATAGTACACCAATGCGGCAAATCGGTGAATTCGAATCATCTCAACGCTAGCACCAGAGAAGTGATGCTGGACTATGACTAACTCAAACGCCAGACTAGAGTCTTTGAAAAACATCGGTTGCCTTCAATAAATTTCACCCTCCTGGCTATCATCTACTTGAGCAGTTCACGGAAGCTCAGGCAAGATATTCGCCATTCCTTATGTGTGCATGGCTGAAGTGTCTTAAATGGTAACCTGTTGTCTCGTCAGTCTGCAGGGCAGTGGAATGGGCAAGTTTCACGTGTTACCTTAGCAAGTCGGCCAGACGACAACTGCACAGACTTTTGTCTCTTCAAGGTTTGCGAGAGCTCGGGAGTGCGCTTCATCCCTTATAAATCACAATTGTCAGTACAAGATCTTTTCTCACCATCCTAGGTCAAACAATGTACAAAAACTTCATAAGAACGAGACAGTGCAATCGCTGACCTAGTTTCAGGAAGTGGGAAAAGGAGGGAACCCCCAAGCCTTGGGAGTCCACACCATTGCCCGCATCGAGCACGAGCTTGGAAGCGATCATTCTGAAAAGGAATAAAATCTCAGCAAAAAACAGCTCGACATCCAAATGAACGGGCAGCATAACATGGGTTTCGCATTACGAGTGTAGAACTATATGGGCATGCTCGTCTGAGCTCTCCATATCGACAATACATGTAAGCCCTTCACGATCCATGTGTATGCTCGACAACTCTAAGTCAAATTAAAATTGCAGTGGTTCAACAAAAGGGTCCACCAAATCCTTCTTCTCTTCGCTCGTTAACCATTGCAAGTATCACTCTTTCATTAGTTCACGCTTCCTTCTAGCACTTCAACATCATCACTTGTCAACTGGCTTCACCATTCCCTCTCTGCCTCCCCCGCCTCTCTCTCTCGCTGTCTCATGGGGGCGATATAGCCATGAAGCTGACTGTTCGTCACTAGCCCACATCCCCACATCGAGTTTAACTTAACTTTCGATGAGTAAACGTTTCAGGTAGTACGTTTGTATTGCAGGTACCAATGCGCAAAACGATACTAACGGTAGCGTGATGTGCGGTAGTCGCTGAGGGACTGGTACGAGATGGCGACAAGAAGCTCGACTTGTCCGAGAGGCTCCTCGGCGTCTCCTGCTTCTCCGCCTGCTCGCCTTCAGCTGCGGCTCGTGGCTGCTCTGTTGCTGCTGCACGCCATTCTGGTACCAACGGGTTCCTTGAAAGCTCAATCGGAAGATCAGCAGAAACTCTTGGTGAATGTGGAGCCGATGGATCAACAAGACGACATTCTAAAATACAGCAGGTTGAGTTTTGTCGGACGGTGGCATAAAGTTTGTGATCATCGCCATGCTGTACTATGTTGTTGTGTTGTGCGATACGTGATGCTTCTCAAACGAGGGAAGGTCAGATAGGACAGCTTTGCACTGTCAAGATGCTACCTGAGAGCACCAGAGGTGATGTCATAGTGAAGAATCAGCAGTACGTGCTTCATGGCTAATCTGGTTGCAAGTATCTCATAGATGATGTACTTGCTACTCTCCGGGCGACTTAACCCCTCACAGTGTCTTGCTTTAACTTTTCGCTTGCAGCTCCACTGGTCTGGACTACACAGAGAAGATATCTCTTGACATTGAGAATGATCCTCCGTTGGGTTTGAAGAACATGATTAAGTTTCTGAAGAACGGAGATGAAAGGATCATCAAAACAAGGTTGACGCGAGCGGTGAGAGGAGAAAATTCTTTTGCTCGAATAGGATCAGATATCTTTGACGCGAACGATGGAATAGGCGAGGGGCAAGCAGCACATGTTTGTCAGAAAAGGAACCTCTCTGATACAATCAATCACTTCTCTGCTCAAACACTCAGACGTACAAGTACGGAGAAGCGCTGCCGAGGTGAGATCGACGGGATGCTCCCACAGCTCACTACTCACTGAGCATGTAAGGCAATTCATTTGCTCTCTCTGGACAACCCAGCAATAAGTGAGATGATCGGCTTGCAATCATGGGCGCCCGAGGGATGCGGCATGAAAGAAGTCATGTCTTCGAATCGAGTTGATGTCGAGCGATGCTGAATCTGTCGACAGCTCCTCGACATGATTTCACGATCCTCTGCCGCAAATGCGTCACAGGACGAGTTGGCTGCGGGTGAACAAGCTGCGAAGACTGTGTGGACTTTAATCACAAACAGCAGGGATAACCTTGTACGTGTGCTCGGTGAAGTATTGTATGCCTGCTGTAATCCTCTGACAGGAGTCGGCGCATCACCATAACGCAGTGAAAACAATATCATATGTGTTAATGGGTACATGTACACCTCTCCTGAAGATGTGGTCTGCTGCTTGCCTGCAAAAAGTGAGGTGGGAAATAATCTTGATCTGTCAGCTTACATCATTTTTCAGCTTGTTCTTGATGTCTACAACTCGTTCGATGGTTCATATACCTCAAGCGCACGCAAAGTACAAGATAACGCCAAGGTGTCAATGCCAGGATCTCTATCTCTTGCGGAGCAGTCATTGAATGTTTGATAGATGCGGAGAGATCTTGTGCAGACGAGAGTTTTTCTTCTTGAGCTTCATAGCATGATTGAAGGGAGTCTGGTAAGAGACTCCCTTCAATCATACTCATAGCCATGACAAGCTTCACCCCTTGTGACGGAAACAATCAGAATCAGAGTGAGATTGCATGCCAGCAACTTCAACGTCCGTCGGAGGTATCCGTGCTGGTGAGCGAGCAGAGCATCTGAAGCTTTACTCCTGCAGGAGGTCAACCAAGACTTGTCTCAGCGCGTCTGTGCCTGGGCGGCGGTTCCTTGTAGCAAGATTTGCGCGCATGAGGGATGACGAAAGGATCAGGTTGGGGCTGTAGGATCGCTGGCGATAAGCGAGGAGAATCAGCAGGTCTGCGATCATGCCTGACTGTATTGCGCCAGCTACATGGTGATGGGTTTACCGCTGTGCTGATTGTTGCACACCAGCCAATTCTCTCTGTCGGATTTAAACAACTTCTCTGCAAGATTCAGGTGAGCTTTACACTTCGAATAGTGAGTCTAAGAGGTGACACATGTTTCAGCAAAGCTCCTGCGATCTCGAGAAACGAGAAGCGACAAGATCTCTTGAGGTGACGCTGATTAGCGCTCTGAAATCCGCTCACGTTTGTCAGATCTTGGATGAGACATGTACAGAACAAGAATCAGAAGAACTTGAGGAGGAAAATCAAGTGAAAGCTGAAGGAATAGCCGATAGTAATGATCCGAAAGAGCTTTGAGATGAACAAACATGTACGGAAAGAGCACAGAGACATCGGTGAAGGCAATCTCTATTCACACTATTTCTCCACGTCACAGCCTACATGTCCGTTTTGGAGCATTGACTCGGTAGGCGGAGGGGCTTGGACGAAAAGTCGTACATCTGATCCATGGAGTCAAGGAAGTCCACCCCATGGCTGTAGATGATATCCGAGTCACACAACCTGTTGAAAGAAACATCATCAGCTTGTTGTCTTTCCCAGTACAGGTGTCATGGATAAATCTCCTAAACTTCCAGCTTCCTTCACTCACTCGATCAGTTCTAGTCTGACTGTGTTCCAATTCTGTCCCTCTCATCTCCTCCTCCAGTACCCGAAGTAGCCGAACGCCTTGTTAAAGCATGGTTGCGATAGAGAGCATGTTCGGAGCTCACAGGCAGGAGACATGTTCGGCTGATGATAATGGCGGCCGTAATTGTAGTGATGCCGCTTTTCTGTGCCCATCCCGTCACAGAGCGACAGGGAAGAAAACAAGAACCACCTGGTTGAAAGTGAGCAGCAGCAAGCCCGTATGTGCTTGCAAAGGTAATGATGGTCTCGTTGCTCATCGAGAGCAGGTAGTGATCAACAGCTCGCTTGAGCGCAAAGGCATCCTCCTCCTCCCTCTCTTCCTGCGTCTATCGCATCTTTGAGCACCACCATGCGCGGAACATGTTAACTCACTGCGACGTCTGATACTCCAGTACCATCGTCCTGTGGTGCGTCGTACCTGCCCTCCTCTAGATCAGCCAACAAGAGCAAAGGATCAAGTGCATACCAGACTAGCTGCCGTGTCCCCAAGGCCTGTTGAAGATCAGGAATGATATCAGGCAGATCTGTTGCAACGATCCATCTGACATCTTTAAGAGGGCCGTCAGGAGGAGGGAGGGGAGGGGAGGGGAGGGGAGGGAGGGAGGGAGGGAGGGAGGGAGGGAGGGAGGGTAGGGGAGGAGAGAGATTTCACCCGTATCGTTCCATTCTCTTCCGTTCATCGCAAGGATGTCTCTTCCACATTCCACGTAGGAGTTCATATCTTCTACCCTAGCCTGTCTCAGCAGCTCCGTCACTCGCACAAGACAACATCTTGGCATGATATCACCTGCCCGTTCATCGGGTTTAGCCGCAAGTGCATGCCGACCGTGTACTTTCCTCGTATCTGCTCCTGCAAACACATTAGCAACGTCGCTGTGGAACAGCAAGACTGTACAAGAAGAGGTTCGAGAGCTTGTTGCAGCTCTTTGCTCGGATGGAACAAGTACTTCATTGCACAACCAAAGAAAGCATCCGGATCTGCCAACCCCCACTGCTCGACCCTGTGCGCCAAGCGAGGGTTCCTGAAGAGACTGGGCCACCATAGAACGTTTGTGGAGATGGAAAGAACGCTCTCGGGATAGAGAGAGTATAGATCAGCCATCATCAACGCGTCCTGATGTGCATGTAAGCCAAGACAGGTGAAATCTGATTGCAATGAAGAAAAGGACATGATATGACATGACATGACAGGACAGGACAGGACAGGACAGGACAGGACAGGACAGGACAGGACAGGACAGGACAGGACAGGACAGGACAGGACAGGACAGGACAGGACAGGACAGGACAGGACAGGACAGGACAGGACAGGACAGGACAGGGACAGGGACAGGACAGGGACAGGGACAGGGACAGGGACAGGACAGGGACAGGGACAGGGACAGGGACAGGGACAGGACAGGGACAGGGACAGGACAGGACAGGACAGGACAGGACAGGACAGGACAGACAGGACAGGACAGGACAGGACAGGA